AATGAGAAAATATGAAATTTATACTTTTTTTTCCTTTTTTTTGGAGATGGGTCTCATTCTGTTGCCTGAGCTGGAATGCAGTGGTGTGATCATAGCTCACTGTAACCTTTAACTCCTGGGCTGAAGCGATCCTCCTACCTCAGTCTCCCAAGCAGTTGGGACTATAGGCATGCAAGCCTAGCTAATTCTTTAAAAAAAATTTTTTTAAGAGATGGTGTCTCGCTGTGTTGCCCAGGCTGGTCTTGAACTCCTGGCCTCAAGCAATCTTTCCCACCTTGGCCTCCCAGAGCACTAGGATTACAGGCATGAACCACCAAGCCTGGCCCGAAATGTATACTGTTTATAGCTGCATGAAATATGTTATATAAAGAAAAAAGAAATGATTGATTAAAAATGGCTATATAATTTTTTTTAACATGGAACCTGACAGCATGCTTCTAAAATTCACATGAAGAAGCAAAAGGCCAAGAATAGTTGAGACACTCCTGAAGAACTAGGCATGGAGATTTTTCATATCAGATATCAAATTTAATATAAAGTGATGATAATTAACATAGTGTGCTTTGGTCAAAGGAAGAGACAGGTAGACCAGTGGGACAGAATAGGAAGCCCAAGACCAGCTCTGCAAATATCAAAATTAGATGCAGAAGAGTCGGCATTGCAGATCAGCAGGGGAGGAGCAGATTAGGCAGTGGTTGGTGCTGGAACACTTGGATTGAAAAATCACAATTTGAAAATTATATTGGACTTTTATCCCACACTACATTTACCCACAAAGCAATTCTAGTGAATTAAGGATTAAAGGTGAATGAAAGGTAATACTTTAAAAATGTTAGGACCAATATAGGTGAAAACCTCTTTAACCTTTGACCTCATGAATGGTATCCTAAGACACAAAAATCACCTATCATAAAAGAAAAGATGGAAAAATTTGACTACATTTAAAAGGAATAAATTTCTCATTATTAAAAGATACCATAGGCCGGGCGTGGTGGCTCACGCCTGTAATCCTAGCACTCTGGGAGGCCGAGGCAGGTGGATCGCTCAAGGTCAGGAGTTCGAGACCAGCCTGAGTGAGACCTCGTCTCTACTAAAAATAGAAAGAAATTATGGACAACTAAAAATATATATAGAAAAAATTAGCTGGACATAGTGGTGCATGCCTGTAGTCCCAGCTACTAAGGAGGCTGAGGCAGGAGGATCACTTGAGCCCAGGAGTTTGAGGTTGCAGTGAGCTATGCTGATGCCACAGCACTCACTCTAGCCAGGGCAACAAAGTGAGACTCTGTCTCAAAAAAAAAGATACCATAAAGACAGTAAAAATAAAAACTATAACCTAGAATAAGTTGCCCCACAATGTAGTCAACAGAAATTAATATCCAGAATAAAGAACTATCAATAAGAAAGGGACAAACTAGTATAAAATGGACAAAAATCAAGAAAATTTCACAGAAGGGGAAGTAAGAATGCCTTGTAAAAATATGAAAAGTTGTTTAACTCATTAGTAACCAGGAAATTATAAATTAAAACCACAGTGAAGGCTGGTGTGGCGGCTCATGCCTGTAATCCTAGCACTTTGGGAGGCTGAGGCATGAGGATTAAGTCTTGGGGCCATGAGTTCAAGATCAGACTGAGCAAGGGTGAGACCCCCTTTCTACAAAAAGTAGAAAAGTCATTTGGCTGTGGTAGTATGTGCCTGTAGTCCCAGCTACTAAGGAGGCTGAGGCAGGAGGATCACTTGAGCCCAGGAGTTTGAGGTTGCAGTGAGCTATGATGATGCCACTGCACTCTAGCCCGGGTGACAGAGAGAGATCCTATCAAAAAAAAAAAAAAGGAATGAAAGAAATACCATTTCATAGGCATCAGATTTTAATTTTTTTTTTTTTTGAAACAGACTCTCACTCTCTTGCCTAGACTAGAGTGCCATAGCATCAGCCTAGCTCACAGCAACCTCAAACTCCTGGGCTCAAACAATCCTCCTGCCTCAGCCTCCCAGGTAGCTGGGACTACAGGCACGTGCCACCCTGCCTGGCTAATTTTTTCTGTTTTTAGTTGTTTGGCCAGTTTCTTTCTATTTTTAGTAGAGACGGGGTCTTGCTCTTGCTCAGGCTGGTCTCGAACCCCTGAGCTCAAGCAATCCTCCCGCCTTGGCCTCTCAGAGCGCTAGGATTACAGGCGTGAGCCACCACACCCGGCCAGATTTTAATTTTTTAAAAAGATGATTGTAGGCCAGGTGTGGTGGCTTACCCCTATAATCCTAGCGCTCTGAGAGGCCAAGGCGGGAGGATTGCTTGAGCTCAGGGGTTCGAGACCAGCCTGAGCAAGAGCGAACCCCCCATCTCTACTAAAATAGAAAAATTAACCAGGTGTGATGACCTGCGCCTATAGTCCCATCTGCTCAAGAGGCTGAGGCAAGAGGATTGCTTAAGTCTAGGATTTTGAGGTTGCAGTGAGCTGTGATCACACCACTGCACTCTAGCCAGGGTGACAGCAAGACCGTCTCAATAACAACAACAAAAAGATGATTGTAGAAGCATAGAACTATCATACACTACTGGCAGGGCTGTATATTTAATTAGACCCTTTTTGAAATAACTTGGCCTCACCTCCTAGTTTATGACCCTGGAGAAAGTTCGACATATTCGTAGCAGCATAGTTTTTAATGGCAAAACCAGAAACCATGTCCATTGATGGGAGAATAGATACATAAATTGTAGTATAATCATTCAGTGGATACTATACAGCAGTGAAAATAAATTATAACCATGTATGTCACAATCTGGAGGAATCATAAAAATAATGTTGAGGAAAAAAGTCGCTGAAAAATACAGATTGAGCTGGGCACAGTGGTGTGTGCCTGTAGTCCCAGCTACTTGGGAGGCTTGGATGGCCAGGATCATTTGAGCCTAGGAGTTTGAGACTAGCCAGGGCAACATAGTGAGACCCATCTAAAAAAAAAATAGAGTACCATTCCAATTATATGAAGTTTATAAACACATAAAAATTAAACAATATATTGCTTATGCATGAAGATATAAGGTAAAATTGTCAAAAGAAAGTGAATGCTTAATACATAATTCAGGATAGTGGTTACTTCTGGGATATGGGGAAAGAGAAACAGAGCTTCTGAGATACTAGAATTATTCTATTTCTTAAGCTGATTGATAGGCATATGGGTGTTTGATTTGTTATACTTATTGTCATATACCTTCTAAGTACTCTTTTGTATGTATGTTTTCAAAAAAAAACTTTTAAAATAAGCAAAAAAACCTGACATTTAATTTTTTATTTCCATCCTTATTTTTTTTCATTACAACCAATATATACACAAATTCCTTATTTTTTATATTTTGTTTTGACCCAACTTGGAGATTAGAGCAATTGCCTAGTTTTGCTTTGATAGTTAAAAAGGTCAGCATGCTTTTTAAGATAAAAGAGCCGACTTTAGGGAATAAAAAGCACAGCTAAGTCACCATTGATGGGACGATGTATTGGGGGAAGGTAGAAACCACATGTACATTTTGGAAACACCTGAAAGAGAGTAGAGAAGTGGGTAATAGGGATTTATAGAGACTGGATATTATAGAGATGAATTTACAGAGGGTGAGTTCAGTAATGGTGATTTACTATTGCTGCTCTGGCCAACACTGATCACAGTAATAATGGGAGATGCCATTTATCGAGAGCTTTATTGTGAGCACAGGCCCTTGTTACCCTTCCTTAATGGATAAGGAGAACGGGGAGCTCAGAGTGCCCAAAGCAGCACAGTGTATTCTTGGCAGAGCTAGGATCTGAACTTGACTTTGGATTTTATATTCTTAACCCCGTTATACAATACTGGAGGGATCAGGTGAGTTTAGTAGAAACATGACATAAGGGGAGATAGGATAGTTTCAGATATCTGAGAATTAACTGAATGGCAGAAGAGATAGAACTTGTTCTGTGTCGTGTACTAGAAGCAGTGGTAATAAACACAGGAAGACAGACTTCTGCTCAGTGTCAGAAAGAATGTTTTAATTATTAGCTTTCCAGTTTCTATTTATTTATCACAGTACCATAGTGCCCATGACATGGTAGGTTCTCCGCAGGTAGTTGCTGAATGAAGAAATAAGGCCCCATCACTAAAATTAGAACAAGCAGACCCAGGATGTGTTTCTGTTTGGGCCACCAGAGAAGAAATCACTACAGTCCTTAGGAGGTTGGACTAAACACCTTAAGTCCTTTCCAACAAACACTAAATTCTACCTACCTGACCCTAATTAGGATTCTGGGTTTCTCAACCTGGTAGTAAGTGTATTTCAACTTAATCTTTGGAAAGTCTCTTGAGTCTATCCCAAGATCATTATAAAAACAAAATTGAATGTTTTTGAAGGCAGTACTCTTTTCTACTGCTCTGTTCCTAGCATAGATCATGTGGTGCACAATGTATACCAAGTCTGCATTGAATGAATTGTTGCACAGGGAAAGATACATTGTGGAAGGAGCAGACAAATGGGGCGGGGATGAAGATGTGGGGTTGTAGACACATAAAAAACTGACTTTTTAAAAGTAAGTTTTGGTTTTTATTATTATGCCCCTGAGGAGTGACCCCTTTTTGCCTGTGGTGCTATTTGGTAGCCACCAGAAGGTGCAGTAGAGTAACGTGGCAGGAACTTACTGACTTGTTAGCTAGTGTAGAACTGTTTTTTCCTTTGTAAAGTCAGTTATCATGAGTGTGATGAAGAAGCACTTTATGTACTTGATAAATAAAGTTACTACAACATAATAATAGAAAGCTTCCAGTACCTCGCAGCTGTGTGACAGGCACTATGCTTAAGTACTCCTTACATAGCTCACCTAATGCTCTCAACAAATCCGTAAGTTTGTGGCCTAAAAGAGATGGAGATACTTTCAGTTGGACTTTTGAGCTAACTCAATCATTTTCCCCACAGTCCAGAGTGAGCTCCGAGTTGGAACACTTCCTCATTGTACCTTTTGGGCTGCTTTACAGTGAAGTGACTGCATCCAGTTTGGTAAGAATGTCCTCCTCTTTGGCATCATGTACATGTGGGTCATATTAGGTCATTAAACACCTTCAAATCCAGCTAAACATATAACCCAAGAAATAGGAAAGAACCCATGTTTTATGTGATTAATTCAGTTTGAGAAAAACTTTCGAAATAAGTTATAAATACTTGAAACTTGATTTTAAATAGTTTCTAGTTAGGGTAATTTGAAGTCTTTTTGACATTCTAAATTTTTGGTTTTTTTTATTTTCAGGTTAAGATCAATCTACAAGGAGATATAGTAGATCGTGGAAGCACTAATCTCGGAGTAAATCAAGCTGGCTTCACATTACATTCTGCAATTTATGCTGCACGACCAGATGTGAAGTGTATTGTGCACATTCACACACCTGCAGGGGCCGCGGTGAGTGTGCCGTCCTGGTAGTGCCTTAGCTTTTAAAGCTGTTTAGTAAGAGGCACTTCTCATTTTCTCTGAATTGCCCTCCTTTATTGTAACAAGTCAATAAACCTAATTTTGTTGGATTAAAAAAAAGTTTCACAACTAAACTTGATTTTCTTAAAAGAATTTTTTTTTCCTTTCAAGGGATCCATATACGGTCTAATTTTGAAAACCTGTAATATTCTGAAAATGTCTATTAGACTTAACAATTAGAAAATCATAGAGGAGGGGAGGTCAGGTTTCAGTGTGTTGAAGACTATGGGGACGTGCAAGATGACAGCAGAAAGCAGATGCCTCGTTTTGAAAAGAGGAATGGGAAAAGGGGATGGGCAAGCCAGGGTAGGGGATGGAGGGTACTGTGGGAAAGGAAGAGTTTTTAAGGATGTGAAAGACTTGAGCATGTCGATAGGCTGTGGGGAAGGAGCCAGGGGAGAGGGAGAGGCCTGGAAACCAACCTGCCCAGCTTCCCCACACATGTCCTGTCTGGAGCCAGTGGGACCTAGCCTGGATTGTGACTGGGGAGAAGAAGCACAGACTGCGCAGGCTGTTCGGAGGCCTGGCCTCCAAGCTCAGAGCCTCCCAGAACCCGCCCTGGCCATTCACCAAGCCTGGTCCCTTCTCGGGTGAATGGGCCACCCAAACAAAGCCCCAGACCCCTCAGTATGAAGATGCACATTCCAGTTGTCGGTGCAAATTCATGTGAAAACGAAATACTCTAGAACTAGGCTTTATAATCACCAATTTTATATTAAGGGCTTTTTGGACTTATCATATGACAAATGACCTCATTGATTTAGCAATACTGTATATAATCTATCTTAATGTGTTAATGTTATGCATATGGGATTATTTGGATGAATATTAGCCCTGGTTCATTTCACTTTGAACATATGGTTCTTAATGTGAACATCAGAGTTTTTATTAGATGTATCATTCTCTGAATGATGTAATTTTTTCCTAAAAGAATGCATGCTATTCCTTCCAACCACTAAAATGTCCATGGGTTTTTAAGAACCATTAGTGTGTCACGTTTGAGAATATAGTCATGAACAGCTAGCATGAAAGATGTTTTAAAAATTATTCAAATAATTTTGCTTAGTAAGGAAGTTTCTTCTTATATGAGTGCTGAGACTGTGAAAGGAGTTAATTTGGTATTGTCTTTTCAGATTAACTTTTTTCCTATGGAACTGTTCTGCCTATAGATAGTATTTGACTCTTTGGAGCCTGTTTATCTAGGGTCATAATGCTGCTGTCTGTAGAAGACTTTCAAAATTAGCATATTCTAAGGCTACTTTGGGGAATTTTAGGAAATTTAAGGGCTAAATGAACACAGATTTTTTACACTGGGACTCAATTTTACTTAATTAAATGTAGAGAAATTATACAGTATAATTATTGCAAACTTTTATAAATTGTTTTTTGAGACAGAGTCTTGCTCTGTTGTTTGTGCTAGAGTGAGCGGCATCATCATAACTCACTGTGGGCTCAAGCGATCCTCCTCTTTCAGCCTCCCAAGTAGTTGGGACTACAGGCATGAGCCACTGCGCCAGGCCATAAGTTTTCTTTTATCTAATTTTCAAGTGTTTCAATCTTACCTACAACCTAAGATGAAAGGTACACAAAAACCTTACAGCACTTGGAAAACCACCTTTGTTTTTGTTTTTGTTTTTGTTTTTGAAACAGGGTCTCACGATGTTGCCCAGGCTGGCCTAGAACTCTTGGGCTCAAGCAGTCCTCCCACCTCAGCCTCCTGAGTAGCTGGAACTACTGGCATGGGCTGGAAAACTTCTTTGTGTAATGCATTGACTCCTCAGAAGAGCCTGTTGTCTACTCCTATGCTAGACCCAGTGCTCATTGTGTCATTAAATCCAAGCTTACACAGCATTTATAATCAGTGGGGAAAAAAGTCCAGAAAGATGCGGATTTTCTTTTGAGGCTCTCTCAGCTTAGTGATAGCGTTTATTTTTAAATGTGGATTGTTAATGAGCTCCAGAAGTCAAGTTTATCTTAAGTTCTTGAGTTCATTTATTTTCAAGAATAGAACAAAATAAAACATTTCCCCCCCTTTTCTGTTCCTATGAGGAAGCATTTACCATGTCATCAGTCACTGTGTAACTCTGGTTTTTCCTCCTTTCATGGTGACCACTTGGTCTTCTAGGTCTCTGCGATGAAATGTGGCCTCCTGCCAATCTCCCCAGAGGCACTTTCCCTTGGAGAAGTGGCTTATCATGACTATCATGGCATTCTGGTTGATGAGGAGGAAAAGGTTTTGATTCAGAAAAATTTGGGGCCTAAAAGCAAGGTCAGTAGGCATCTAATCTGATATTTAAATTATAGTGAGGAGAAGGAAAAAGGAAAAGTGTCAGTCTTCTTGTCCCGCTCCTTAAAGCCTTCCTACTTTCCCCTCAGGTTCTTATTCTCCGGAATCATGGGCTCGTATCAGTGGGAGAGAGCGTCGAGGAGGCCTTCTATTACATCCATAACCTTGTGGTTGCATGTGAGATCCAGGTAGGGGATGGCCATTCCAATCTACCAGCTTATTTAAGTGTTTCTGGGGTTCACTTGACATTTGTCTTGTAGGAATGAGTCTTTGAGCAATCTCTTTGCCAAAGATGAGCTCATTGAGTTGGAAATTGATCAGATTGACAAGTGCCGTTTCACTGGTTTAAGTTGGCAAAAGATTACTAGGCTTCTTATTTCTAACTTCAAATTTTTCAAATAGATGAGTCCCTACCATTTCTGGAGTACTGGTGTGTGCCAGGCCCGGCATCGGGTGCTTTGCCTGTGTCATCCCATACATTATTTCCTGTGACCCTCACAGTGCTCCTTTTGAAAGCAGATGGAGACAGGTAGACTCGCCCACTGTCTCACAGCTGCAAGCACTCCTTACTTCAGTCTGTTCAGCCCCAAGTGCACATTCTCCCCACTGCTCTCTGGCTTATGTCTGTGGGATAATGAGATCCCAAGTCCTTCATAGGATCCTAAAGGTACTTTGTTTTCCCATTTCTCTGCCAACTGTTAGTGCCTAGTTTTTTGTCATGCTAAAGAAAAATTTCTGAAAATAATCTCGTGATCAGTCTATCACTGTTCATCCTATGTTTTTTATTCTTATACTCTAGCGATTTGGTTTCTGTTGAAACCTGCATTTTTGTTCAAGTGATCTTTCCCACTAAGGAACTCAAGCCATGGTGTTTCCTTGTTTTGGAAAAGGTTCGAACTCTGGCCAGCGCTGGAGGACCTGACAACTTAGTCCTGTTGGATCCTGGGAAGTACAAAGCCAAATCCCGTTCCCCTGGGTCTCCGGAAGGCGAAGGCACTGGATCGCCTCCCAAGTGGCAGATTGGCGAGCAGGAATTCGAAGCCCTCATGCGGATGCTTGATAATCTGGTAAGAATGGCGCCACCACTTGATGATAAAGCTTTTGTTCTAAAAGTACTAATGTTGTTTTTGTAGAAAATGAAGTTGCTATGCAAATGCTTTTACCCTCAAAAATCATAAAGAAGCACCAGGGTTATTTAACTTCTGAGCTAAATCATGAGAAAATATGGAGGAGGAGCTTTCTTGTATTATTGTGTTTTTTAGTGGTAACCTGTGTTTGCACTTAGTGGGGACAGGAGTACAGAGAATACTCTGCAGTAGGCTGCTGGATGACTAGCAGAACCAGCTCAGTAACTGCCATCTCACAAGCAAGGGGAGGGGGATACTTTCTAAATCAGTCAGTCCCATGTTTGGGTTTTTAATGTAAGTTCTAGCTATTTCGGGCCTGATTACTGTGTTACTCATATATCTGTTACCTGTCCATGCATGGGAGACCCTGAGCTGCTTACTGCAGGGACACAGAGTCCAGCATGGTCTAGAAGCTGGGATTGTGGGGCTTGCAGCATAATTGCAGGGGAGGGAGAGAGGCCACACAGTGATAAGACTACACACAGGGTGTGTTGGGGGGATTCAGTAAGGGATTTCATCCTTTTGCAAGGACTGGAGAGAAAACTTAATGTAGAAGATGACCCTTGGAAACGACCTGAAAGAATAGTTAGGATCACACAGGCTGAGTTGAGAGAAGGAAGGTATCTGTGGATAAGACTACAGCATAACTAAATGGGGAATGAGCAGTGGGGAGATGAGAACTGTGCTGTAAGGTGAACCTTTCAGGTTCATCTGATTTTACTAGGTTGATTAAATACTCAATTCCCAGAGCCATATTACAGCACTGTCATTGGGGTCTCAGCCCCGCAGCCACAGGATCAGAGCCAGAGTTCTGCAATTGGGCCCCTTCCATGCTCTAGGTCAGCCTTCTTAGATGGGGTTCAAGAGGGTCCCCTCTTAATGCTGCGTGACATTAAGAAGTGCAGATGCAAGGAAATACCATGTCAGTGTGGGAAAGAGAAGCCTTCTGAAAGGCCAGTGTCCTGCTGTGTTGCCACACCAGTCTTGGAGTGAGTGGGGCACAGGCCAGCTTAATAGAAGAAAGTCCCGGCCGTTGGGCCCAGTCGCAGAGGAGATAGATGGCTTCAGGAGGCAGGAAGTTTTAACTTTCCTGAAGATTTTGGAACAAAAGGAATTCGTGGATCTGATTTGGGCTGTGCTAAGCGTCCTCTTCTCACGAAATTCCTTGCACTTCGGAAAATGCTGGCTGCTGGAGAGACTGGGAGTTTTCTGCCGGAAGTGATAGGTAGTCACAGGAGCATACTCGATCAATGACGGGAACCACCAGAGAGCAGAGTCCTGTGTAACTTTTGAGTTCATTTAATCAATAAAGATTGATTGTATTAACTGACCATCTGCTGTTGAGTCATGAAGAGGACACAGTTCTTTGCCCTCAGGAGTTCATGACCTAGCAAGGGAAATGGACAGACAAATCCCAAATGCAGCCCTGCCCCTGTGGTCTGTGAGGTGACAGGCATGAGGAGAGCTTCAGGGCAGAGATGGCCCAACTGGTCAGGGAAGCAGGAAGAGGAGAAAAGGTCACAAAGAAGGTGGGAGAAGCAGTTGTAGTTAGGTCGCCAGGAGAGTGTACCTGCAGGAGGTCACAACTGGAAAAGCTTTGATGGTGGGGTGACTGTGGCCCAGGCATCTGTGTCAGGAGCCAGAGCCTTCAACCAGGCCAGCAAGGCAAGGAGTGCTGAGCTGGGCCCAGTGGTACAGCCCTTTCCTTCTGGTGAACACCTTGTCATTTCACTGCTCTTCTATCTAAAATTCAAGTGAGGAAGGAGAGAGAGGAGGTAGGAATCCACACCATCCTGCCATACCTTCTGCCTTTAGTACATTTTAGAAGGTAGAGAGAGGGAAATCAAAATTAGGCAGTAATTCTGATTTGATAGGAGAAGAAGATAAAAGATGAATGATTAATAAGTGAAATGTTCATTACAAAAAGTATATTTTATCATTTTTAATATTAGAAAGCCATGTAGTTTATAAGAATTAACTAGATAACAATAATTGATCATAGTTTATGTTTTAATTTAATATCTTTTTAGCAAACATGTTGTTTGCTAATAATTGACCAGGGTCAGGAATAGTTGAAAATTTCCACACTATAAAAAATATTTCATTTTAACATTTACAGTTAGAAAAAAATGCTAGATTATTTCCCCAAAAATCAAGATATAACTTCAGCTTCTCAAAGAAGGAACAAATCCATATTTTTTTTTTTTGAGGCAGAGTCTCACTTTTTTGCCCGGGCTAGAGTGCCGTGGCATCAGCCTAGCTCACAGCAACCTCAAATTCCTGGGCTCAAGCAATCCTTCTGCCTCAGCCTCCCAAGTAGCTGGGATTACAGGCATGTGCCACCATGCCCGGCTAATTTTTTCTATATATTTTTAGTTGTCCGATTAATTTCTTTCTATTTTTAGTACAGACGGGGTCTCGCTCTTGCTCAGGCTGGTCTTGAACTCCTGAGCTCAAACAATCCGCCCGCCTCGGCCTCCCAGAGTGCTAGGATTACAGGCGTGAGCCACCGCGCCCGGCCACAAATCCATATTTTTAACTATAAGCCAGATAGTTGTTCTGAGGTCTGAGTATTACCTCTAATTTTGGTTTGATAGCACTTAGAGGGAAAAAGTAAAGAAAAATCCATGCCCTGTTGGGATAAAATGGAGTTTGTGAGTCCTGGGTGGTTTATCCTGAAGTCGTAGAGATTACTGAGAGTCCTGGCTCTCTAGGCAGGAAGAAACTTGATGATGCTTTAAAACAGGCTTTTTTTTTTTTTTTTTTAAAGAAAACTTAAAGTAATAAGAACTACATTTTTCTGAAGACAGTCTTTTTGTGGCTGAGACATTATCCTTTATTATTCTTCAACAAAGTAGATGGGAAAATTGCCAGTGCAGGCTTTTACCTATCTTTTGAGGATATTTAGGAAAATAAAAATGAAAACGACCTATTAGTGATTATTGCTACCTTTAAAAAAAAAAAAAAAAAATAGACATTAAAGGCATGGTTGGTAATGAAGGTAGCCTCCAAAGAGAAGCAAGAACCTAGAAGTCAGAATTCCTGAATTGAGAGGCATGTTTCTAGGATACCAGCAAGCAGGGGGCATGCCACTGAATCATCTTACAAGTCTAGCTCTGCACAGTCCTTTCAAGTCTTAGTTCTCTTGTCATTTATCACGAAGGTGCTGTGAGTTACTTGGTCCAGGCGTGAATCTGTTAGATAATTTAGCAGACACCTGTCTGACATCCTGTGTAGCACCTCTCTGTGCTGTGTTACAAATTACCGCAAACTTAGCAACTTAACACACATTTATTATTTCATAGTTTCTGTGGGTCAGAAGTTGAGGCACAGCTGAACTCAGTTTAGGCCTTAGGGTGTCGTTAAAGCTGCAGTCAGGGTGTTGGCCAGGGCTGGGTTCTCATCAGAAGGCTTGACTCTGGGAGGAAGGACCCATTTCTGAGCTCCCGTAGGCTGAGGGCAGAAATTTTTTATGACTGTGGCATCCACGGCAGCTTGCTTCTCAGCTGTGGAAAGAGACTCTGGAAAGATAAGTGCTACATTCTTATGTAATACAGCCCGTCACCTTTTGTGAATTCCACTGGTTAGAAGTGAGTCACAGGTCCCACCTGTGCTCAAGGGGGAGGGGATTCCAGGAAGTGGGGACCTGGGGCCACTGTAAAGTCTATCTGTCACACCTACCAAACACCAAGCACCAGATAGGAGAGGTGAGTCAGACACCGTCCTTGCCCTTGGAGATACTGTCTTTGGGGGACTCAGCGAATGAGTCGGTCCAGCAGAGCTGTGAATTAAGTGGGGCCCATCTTTTAAAGCATAGCAGATAGTTGGGAGGCAGAGTTGAAGCTTGAAGTTGAATATTGTTCTATTCAAATGTAAAGTAATTTTGCTGAGAACCAGTTGTCATGAGGTATACTTGTTTACCTTACCTGAAGATTATCACAGTATTTAAACTGGTTTAAAAGGTAAGAAAATATTAAGTAGGTTGATGAATATAACCTCCACAGTAGCCAGCAGCAAGTAAGCCCTGTTTGTGTTTTCAATTTTAACTTTCTGTTGAAATACAATATATAAACAGGAGTGTGTACATATTGTAGGTGTTCAGTTGGTTAAATTTTTAAAACCAAACCTTCTATATAACCAGCACTCGGAGAACAACAATAGCAGCACCCAGAGAGCAACGATAGCAGCACCTCAGAATGTCCCCAGAAGCCCCTTCGGTCACTTACCCCATCCCAAGGGTGACCACTACCCTGCCTCTAACAACAAAGAGTGGCTTTACCTTTTCTATACTTTTTATAAATGGAATCATAGTGTGTATTCTTTTCTAGTTGGCTTATTTCACCTGATACCATATTTGTGACAGTCATCCACATTGTTGGATTTAGTAGTAGAGTATTTATTCTTATTGTTGTATTATATTCATATACCACAGTTTATTCATACTTCTACTGAAGGACTTTTGGTTGTATCCAGTTTTGGTCTGTTAGGACTAGTGCTGCTGTCAACATTTTAGTACCTGTTTTTTGCTGAACATGTGTGTTTCTCTTGGGCATAAAATTAGGAGTGGAATTGCTAGGTCGTAGGGTATGTGTATATTCAGCTTTTGTAGATACTTCTCAAGTGAAACCCTGTTTTGAGATCTGGAATATTGATTGTCTTTCACTCTCCTTGGATCCTAGGGCTACAGAACTGGCTACCCTTATCGATACCCTGCTCTGAGAGAGAAATCTAAAAAATACAGCGATGTGGAGGTTCCTGCTAGTGTCACAGGTTACTCCTTTGCTAGTGATGGTGATTCGGGCACTTGCTCCCCTCTCAGACACAGTTTTCAGAAGCAGCAGCGAGAGAAGACAAGATGGCTGAACTCTGGCCGGGGCGACGAAGCTTCCGAGGAAGGGCAGGATGGAAGCAGTCCCAAGTCGAAGACTAAGGTGTGGACGAGCATTACACACGATCACGTGAAACCCTTGCTGCAGTCTCTCTCGTCCGGTGTCTGCGTGCCAAGCTGTATTACCAACTGCTTGGTCTGTGCCTACCTTACTGTTCATAGTTAGATGATGTAGAGCAAGTTGGGTAGCTGGGGCTTCGGAGGCTTTGGGAATCCAGCTCTTCTAACCTAGACATAAAGCGAACCTTCCTCATTCACTGTCTTTTAGTCAGGACCAAAATCTACTTTATGTACTACCTAAAATTCGAGTAATACTGTCTGCTTGAAACTGCTTAAGATATAACGTACCTCCTTGGTAATTCCAATGTAACCTGACTCCATACATAGCAAAATACTAAATAATTTACATGTATTAACCTAAAAGTAGGAGATCTCCTTCAATCCAAATTGTATTCAAGGACTCTTAATACTTGATGCACAAAAAGATAGTTCTGTCATAAACCTGATATTTTAATGTTGTAAACTCCAGTGGTTTAACATTAAGTCACTAAAGTCTCTTCTTTAAGTTTGTAGTGTTTTCTTAAGCAGTTTTCCCTGTTGGCTTACTAGTGTGTTCTCCACTGACCCTTGTCCCCTCTTCTTAGCCTTGTTCCCCTGCTTTCTATCCCAAAGCCTCCGAATGCACACAGCCAGCTGCCCTCTGCATGGACTGTTGCATGTGAGTAGACGGCCATAGTGGTGAGTCTTCTGACTCCTGCTGGGTGCGGCATGACCCAAGTGCAGCGCAGGCCATCTGCAGGCACCAGCGACAGACGCTGCAAGGGGTGCTTCGTTTCAGTTTTAACGCTGCTCAGAGTTACCATTTGACCTGAAAAGTGCTCCGAGGTCCTGGTGCTGAGACATTCCTCTGAAAATTGGTCTTTACTGCTTCTGTAACCTAACCTTTGACCATCTGCCCAGATCCTGCTTTAAGATGTAGGAGAAGTCCATTTTCAAAAGCCCCTGAATTGGAGTCTTTTATGAGGAGTTTGGCTGGGCCAGACTCATCTATGCATGGCTAGTTCTGTATGAGTTCATTTGAAATTAGGTTAGATATTCCCAAAACCATGGACAGCTAAATAAGCAAAGTAGAGCTTTCTTTTCCCCTTATAACAGTGCTTTTACTTTTTAGATTTATTTATTTATTTTTTTAAAGTTTTGTCTTCCCCAGGTGGTCCTGGTGTTTTCCTGAGGCACAGTTGGTGGGAAGCCTCCATGCTCCTGAGCAGCTGTGTCACGTGGGCAGGGACCCTGCGTGGTTGTGGGGCTCAGAGGGTTGGAGTGTATCTCTCCTCTTCCCTCCTCCTGCCCTCCCTGTCTCCTTTTCCCCCTATTTCCCTTTTTTTTTTTTTTTTCCAATCCAATTGGTTAATTTTTAATTGGTTTAACTGGTAAAAGGAAGGGGCCCAAAAAAAAAAAAAAAAAAAACGTTTCTGCTGCTGATGTTAATCCATAGTGCTGAATTGCTGTGATGAATTTTTCCAAAGTGCCTATGCAATGGCAACTTTGAACTTTATTTACTGTTAGCTTGAAAAATAACTAAATCACTTTAGGCATTTTAGATAACGTATACATTGAAGGGGAGAACTTGTTCAACATTTAAGTTTGTTTCGTATTGTTCTGGAGTAATACAAATTCCATGCAGTGTTCCCAGGTTGGTATATTTTAATTTATAACGATTGTTGTTAAATTGTCAAATGTGTTTAAGCTTCTGAGGTTGTTGTTTTCATGTTTTGACTAAAAGTTATTTTTAATAAGATGCTGGAGTTGTTTTTATCTGAGAAGATACCCCCAGTGAGTACCCCACAGCTCCACGCTCATCCCACAGCCTCCCGTTCACAGCGGCTAAGCATTTGACGCTTTCGTTGCTTTCTTTAAAGTTGTATGGTTTATAACTATCTTATTGCCTCTCAAAAATACTCTGAAAGGCTTAACATTTGCTCTCAAAGATGGACTTGTTTTAATGTTCAGTGCCTACTCATGCCTAAGAATTAGAATTTGATTAAAAATCTTATATTTAATTGGAGATCCAAAAAAATTTATAAGTGGAAGGCACAGTATGTTGATGATATGCACTGATATCTAAAACAGCCCTTAATTAAGGACTCATGAAGCGCTTCAAGTTTGTTTGGGATATTTTTGTAACACTCAAAAATATTAAGTTATATAAAATATTTGACATCACCAAACTCTTGTTCCGGGTAGCTACTGTATAAGTGTTCATACAGTAATTTTCTTTTGGGTTGAAATATGCAAGCACTGCATTCTGATGCTGTCATTTATTTTAATGCAGAACTTTGGTGATGCCCACTCTTGCCTCACAGTACAGACTCTTCCCTACCCCGGGTAGCAGCATCACATTGCTTTTCATGACCCTGTCATCTCATGCTTCCAGTTGGCTTTGGTGTTGGATGACTCTCAGAGCAGTGAACCAATGGTCTCTGAGGACCTCCCTGCTGGTCCGAGGGGTTATGGGCTCAGCTCTGTCATCAGCCCACACTGTGGCTTATATTTCAACTGGGCTTTCTAGATGGTCCTTTTTCACCAGTCATGACTCTGACTTACACCATTAACTGGTTTTTATATGGCCACGTCTTGCTCCCATGGCAACTCTGCTGAGTGACCCAGGAGATAGGGGCATTGGTTCAGTCCTCTCTGTGATGTTCAGTGCATGACCAGATGTGAGATAAATTGGACAGATTGGATGCTATGGTGTCATTTATTGTTGTCATAATCCTGACTTTTCAACTGTTCTTGATATTACAGTGGACTAAAGAGGATGGACATAGAACTTCCACCTCTGCTGTCCCTAACCTGTTTGTTCCATTGAACACTAACCCAAAAGAGGTCCAGGAGATGAGGAACAAGGTGCGTCTTGCCATCAGCACTCGGTGGGAGCTTAGGTGTGGGGTGGGAAGGGGATGCTAGCTGCTTCAGGGGCAGAGGGTGTGCTTGCTTCTAGCAGAGGACAGGTGCCATCACCACTGTTGCATTGCTGCTGTTCCACTAATAGTGAAAGAAAGTGTGAGCAGCAGACATTTTTTGGGCCCCACTGATTCTTGAACTAATGTTGGCTTACAGGTCAGAACTGGAAGCTGCAAAGCCTGTTTCTAGCAAGAGTAGACAACTGCCCCTGCCTTTCAGGGTTCATTCAAAACGTTATGGCAGTGTTTGGTATATCAGAACATGAGCTCCGTCAACATTCACAGTGTCACTAGAGGATAGGCACATAGGGAACCCGCCCTACTACGTTAATGAGTGCAGTGAGAGATCTGTGCCCTGCTGTCTGGAAGGTGTGGGAAGTCGGGAAGAGTCCTCTCCGTCCCTCAGACCTCTGCCCTCCTAAGCAGATTGGACAGTGCCATCAAGTAGGCATGGCCGCTCAGGGCATGCTGGGCTGTCCTGCCTACATGGGGTGGGGCAGAGCAGCAGTGTGGCTTCCACATTGGCGTGGCGGGCCAGATGCACAAATGGCATGGCTCCCAGACACAGTGTGGCTTCTCAGGATGTTGATGTGTGTTTCTCCTTCCTGTCCTCAGATCCGAGAGCAGAACTTACAGGACATTAAGACGGCTGGCCCTCAGTCCCAGGTTCTGTGTGGTGTAGTGATGGACAGGAGCCTCGTCCAGGTGAGAGCTCAGAGTGTCTCTGACATGAGTGGGTGGTGGCTGTATGGCTGTCTGCTCCCAAGTTATTCTTAGAGAGAGAATGACTTTATGAGGTAAGTATTCTAGACAACTAGTTATCTTTGTTAAAATCTTCATGATAAGAAACAACCCAGGCATTTTTCCTTGAGCTCTAGACCAAACATAAGCATGCCGAGAGCCGTGTCCATCCCTCTAGTCCCCGCTCCCTGTAGTGCATGCATATGTGAGGGTGGCACACACACCGCCAGCTTGGGAACCTGGATTCGCCTGGGTTTAGTAGTGTACTGTGCGAGGTGCTGGAAGAGGGTGGGCTTGAGGGACTTTCGTTCTGGTACATATTGCTGTCTGCATCAACGTGCCGCTTGGGTTGCAGAGGGGTAGATGCTGTAAATGTGGTGCACATTTACATACATTTCTATAAAATACTGTGTACCTCGTGGCACATTGAGGATAATCGTGTAAGTAGTTATCTCCGAAGGTTAATATGCCACCTAATGCTTCACAACCTGACTGCAGGGTAGATGATTGTTGCATTTTCTGAATTGGCCAGCTGTGGTCCTGGTTTTGTGTTCAGTGTCTGCATGTACCACAGTCATCACCGCTGCATTCACCACTGTCCCCGCTGCATGCTCTTAGCCGGCTCCATTCTGTGCTCTAGGTGGACATTTCGAAGGCTGGGCCTGGTCGCTCTGATGACTCAGTTTACTGTTGCAGGACGCACCCCTCTCTGACTGTACGGAAACTATCGAAGGGCTCGAGTTTACAGAGCAGACCTTTAGTCCCGCTAGATCTCTCTCTTTTAGAAAGGTACTCACTGCCTTGTCCTTGACTCCCTGTCGGTCCGCGTTGCTCTCCCCCCTCCCTGTCCCTCCCCTGTCTCCTCTCTTAGGCATTGTCTTAGTTACTGAAGTAGCTTGAAATGGATTTTTAAATTGTTTGATTTAGAGATTGTACAGAAGGTTGTACAGAAGGTTCTGTTCTGCCTACTCTACTCTTTAATTAAAAATTTGGTGTGAGGTATTTTAATAATTTTCGGTATCCTTAGTTGCTGAGAAATGGCCAATCTGAACGATGTGGTGCATTTCTGCAGTTCTGCATGTGGCTCTGATTGGTGCATGTTTTGAGTTTTGGCATTTGCCTTTTATGCAATGCAGGCTGCAGGCAGCGGCCCTCCCCAGCGTCCCCTGCTACCCCTGCTTGTGCAGCTTTGACCGAAAATGTAACGAATGTAGCCATTGGAGGTCATGTCATTCAAAGATGTCATTTCAGAGGAATGGGAAGTAAGACAGTCTTTGTCAGCCCTTGTTGATAAAATGGATTTATTTTTACCTTAAAAAAAGGCTCTAGATAATTTTTCTTAATTGCAGAAGAGAAAGGCTTTCTTTTTGGGCATTCATACATATCATGCACAGTAGGTGGATGATCTGTCTGGTCGAACTCGCCCAACTAGAAGGAAACCTTCCCTGAGCATTTAGGCTGCTAGTGTGCAGAACTTGGTGCCCAGGGCAGAAAATGGCAGACTGCATTTAGAGTCTTAGCCGTGATGTTTGCCTTCTGTTCAAAGGAAAATTCTAGGGGCTGTCTCTTTCACTTAATACATCTTCAGTTAGATGCAAGTATCACTATAGCATTATTCCAATTGACAGAAGCAGATTTCTACCAAAAATTCTATATTCTTGTCTGGAATCCCTACTAATAACATTGTTTTGCATATTTATGTATTAATTCCACAGGTCCCTTTTTACCTGAAGTTCTTGGAGGAACTTCTCAGAGCAAAGGAGAAAGATGTGCTCCTTTCCCTGTCAGCTTGTTTTTCATCTTTTGGTGCTTTGGGCCATAAGCCATTGCGACCTGTTAATCACTTACCATCTGAGGTGTGCGAAGCCATGTATATTCTATGACCCGCTGCTGGCTGATCATGCGAGCCACTGCGGTGCAGCCCTCTAGCTTTGTGGGGCTAGAGCAGAGTCAGACAGAGTCATTGCCGTGCTGTGTCTCTGGGGTTGTAGTACATTTAATGGATTTTATTTGTATTTTTTAAAGGGCTATGCAGAAAGTAGCCTGGTTAGCTGTGTTAAATCATACAGTTACACCTTTGCCTGCTCTATCCCAGTGGTGTTCAGATATGGATGTATGTCACAGTCACCTGGGGTGCTTCATGAGGGACAGATGTAGGCCCCCATGGCCATGGTCAATACTTTGTTCTCTGAGAGTGACACATACAGGTATAGTTAGCTGAGTAACCACTATAGTCTGACCCTAGATGAAGAGATGTTGGCCCCTTCCCCCTAGTATGTAAATTCTTGTTCCAGCCTTTTATTTTTCTCTGCCTTTCTATTTCTAAAGTTCATATTTGCACTCTTCATCTTTATCCCACCCTGACTGTGCATATTTCATTTTCATGGTGAGAATGTGCTTTGACTTTAGAGATGTCCTTTACCGGGGTTGTTGTTCTACTTCCTTTTATGTGGACCTCAGAATGCAGACAGTGGTGCTTCTTTTGAAACATGGTGCTCCTTGTTGGCAAGTTGAATTTCTCCTTGACCAAGTAAAAAGGTCTGTGTCCTAAAAGTTCCTCTTCCTAGTGAGGCAAGTATATAGATACTTGCTTCCTGTCTGGAGTTCTGGGTCACTGGTCAGTCATGGAGTGCATCAGACACCCTGTATCCAGTGTGCTGGGCAGTGACCTCTCAGTGCAGGCAGCTAGCCCAGACTTCCCCACCTCTGCCTGAGGAACATCAGCCTATGTGAGCTGATTTCCCCAGGAATCAGCCCACCTGGGACACTCGCCACCTCTGGTGTTTGCCCCTTACTGAAGTGAGCACTGAAGGACCAGGCCTAGCATCAGTGATTTTGGATTCTCCTGCTTTCGTTTGTTTTTGGAAGCTGTAATTAAGTAACGTGCATGTTACTTAACGTGCATGTGCGTGAAGTTCTGGTTAACTTCCTCAGAAGTGGACCCCAGAACATTTGGGGGACTTTTCCTGCTCCTAGCCCCAACCTGGCCAAGCTATGGGGCATAGAGCTATGCTGGGACAGGTGAGTGTGCGTGACCCCGCACCCCAGGGCTGCCTGCCCAGCTCCTTCTCTCTGAGGCCAGCTCAGCCGCTGTGCCCGCTACCAGTGCCCGCTGCTCTGCCTCCTCCTGTAAGATTGGATGTGGACACAGAGAGCCACCTGTGTGCTTTTGCTTTGCTTTCCTTCCTCTTTTTTCTTTGATATAAATTCTCACCGTTTTCCAAATTCTTTAGACACGTACTGGTGTCTTGGGACATTTTTATCATCTCCGAATGTTTTGGTATAAGTTCCAGGAGCTAGTTGTAAACTAAATGCATAGTTAAAAGAACAGAACTTACCTGTGCCCTTAGAATATAAGTAAATCTCCAAGCATGCTTTATTCTGAATGTTGTGACTTGTGACATTTATTCATGTCATGAGGGAAAGTGACTTTTCAGCACTCACATGAAGGGCCTCTTCTGTCCCTGTCTGGCGATGAGGAGAGGGAATCCCCCAGAGGTGCTCTGTGCTTCTGAGTCTGCACTTGGGGCCTCTGTTTCTAAAACCTGAAGGATTTTTGTAGGACTTCTTTTGTTACATTTGTTTTATAGCATTGAGCCATGTTTCCACATCTACCTCTGACGGCTGCTGCTCAGCCCAGGCCTTGGCCCATGGTGGTGCAGTCTCAGCCGTGTCTGTGCGTTCCTGGAAAGCCTCCCGCCCCCCTTCCTGCAGCCTGCCTGGGAGGAGGGAGAGTCCCCGCTGGGCGACTCCTGGGGACTGTGCATCCCTTTCGTCCACAGGGGGAGCTGGTGACGGCCTCCAAGGCCATCATTGAGAAGGAGTACCAGCCCCACGCCATCGTGAGCACCACGGGCCCCAACCCCTTCAACACACTCACAGACCGTGAGCTGGAGGAGTACCGCAGGGAAGTGGAGCGGAAGCAGAAGGGCTCCGAAGGTGAGTGCTCCAGGGTCCTGGGCATGGGGCAACTCCAGAAGGTGAGAGAAAATGGTCTGGAAACTTCTTTGTGGTCTAGGTTCTGGCTGTGGGTGGTGATGAGAATAGTCCCATGCATCAGAGACAAACCAGAGCATTATTCAGTACACAATTTCAGCCTAGTCACGCAGGCAGGAGCTGAAGGAATTGAAAAGTTAAACACACTTCGAATGGTCCCAGTTAGGAGGGACACACGTGTAAGAGATGACATCAGGGCTCCCAGCCATCTGCGTAGTGTGTTAAGATTGGGAGGGGATAGGAACCCTCTGTCCAGTTGAAGCTGAACTTGAAGATGCCCTGCAGGGATCCCATCCAGCAGCTGCAATGCAGGAGGGGGTGAGAGGAGAGAAGGCAACATGTGGGGCTTTGGTGGTGCTGTGAGGGCTCGGGCTGTGAGGGCACTGGTCCTTCTGCCAGGCCTTCTGTCTACATGGAGTGATCAGAACATTCACAGAAGAATTCACAAATTTGGATTAGTTACTGGGAAACCTAGCCTGAATTTGGCGGGGTGGGGGGGTGTTTGTTTTTTGAGACAGTCTCACTCTGTTGCCTGGGTTGGAGTGCGGTGGTATCATCACAGCGCACTTCAACCTCAAACTCCTGAGCTCAGGCAATCTTCCTGCCTCAGCCTCCTGAGTAGCTGGGACTACAGGCACATGCCACCATGCACAGCTAATTTTTCTATTTTTTTGTAGAGATGGGGATCTTGCTCTTGCTCAGGCTGGTCTCAAACTCCTGGCCTGAAGTGATCCCCCTGCCTCGGCCTCCCAGAGTGTTGGGATTACAGGCGTGAGCCATCGCCCCTGGCCCTATTATTTTTAAGAGGCATTTATCTCTCGTACATATTCAGTATTTCTGTTAAAGTTTCACGGAGAAGAGGCCTCCTTTGATATGTGCAATTCACTAATCCTTGCTGAGCTATTAGGTTGCATGGTGCAGGCTGTGTGTGCACATATCTCATCCAATTCTCAAAGTAACCCTGAGGGACGGGCCTGTACCCACCAGTTGGAGCAGGGCTCGGAGACTAAACGGCTCCCGAGGAACAAGATTATGCGTGGCAGAGCCCTGGCTTGGACAAGAGCATGTTATGTTTCCCACTGAGCGTCGGTCAGCAGGCGGCTGCTTTGAATGTCCTATCATAATTGTGTTTATGGCAGGAGTTCCTAACATAGAAATTCACTTTCTCCATAAACCCCAAGGGTCCCCCGTGCAGCGGTGATCACAAGCTCTAGGGTCGATGTGTTGACCACTCTGGCACATTCCCAGACCGTGTTGGGAATGGCCGAATGCTGGCACAGCCTCTATTTCTCTTGATAGGTGGTCAGGCTTTTGCAAAAGGTGATGAGACAATTTTACAATAAATAAAAATAAATAGCCCTGCGTGTCAGAACCTCAGGGAACAGGTGGTTTCAAACTTCAGGTTTTGAGACATAAATCCAGACATTTTGAGAACCAACAAGAGAAGCAGGCCTCCAGTTCCTCTGCTATGAAGGCTCTCATGGGGTGGAGCCGCTATCTCCCCTCCCTGCTGCCAGCCCTTCTAGTCCACTGGGCACTGGCACCAGGAAGACCATGGGGCACAGAGGCCTCCACCAGGACCTTCACACCAGCATCATTGGGGCCTTATGCTCCAGCCCAGGCCTTTTACTGGAACCTACATTTGCTCCTCAGTGTGTGTCCTCTGGGGTCACCTTGTTGGGGTGGTCTCAGTGTGGGGAACTGATTATCACCCTCCTGGTCATAGGGGTCACCCTGGGAACTATGCACTGCTCCTAAGACAACCTCCAATTCACCCCAATTCAACTCTTTTTTAATCTCGTCTTAGGCCAGACTACTGCATTATGTACCTACTGTTGAAATTTGAGTTGTGGAAAAAACCGTTGCTCAATTGTTTTTCAGTATGTGTTACGCTGTCACTTGCTATTCCAATTTTCACCTGAGCTGGAGCTCTGATTCTGTTGTCTGTGGTTATATGGCACAGGCAGCTTTGTCTGCAGAAAGCTTTGTCATAATTACCTGGAGCGAGAACTGGAGGTAGTGTGTCAGCCTGAGCTGTTGATCATCCAGTTCCAGTCCCTGTGCACATGTACACGGACAGGTGTCCGGCCTTTGGACTCTAACAGGATCTGGGTAACCTGGATTATTTTTTAAAAGTCAAACAAGTCACATAGTGTTTCCCCTACATAACAGGAATGTTATGGCCATTGCGTGGATGAGACTGCTCTGACCGTGCTCTGCGGTTACAGACTCTTGCCTGTCACTGAACTGGCCCTTGATGTTGGGGCAGGGGGATGTCACAGGTAAATTTCAGGCTGTCTGTTCAAGGTTAGCACCTTTTCCTGGTTGAGGCCATTTGTTTGCCCAGGTAGATGTGACAGCTTTTTTTTATAGACACTTGGCTTCGGGCAGGTACCATCCCATTCAGGGGTGTTCAGAAGGCAGGTCACCTGTTAGAATTGAATCTCTGGGAGATCAGAGGCTGTGGTGAGTTTAGTTATAGCTGGTTGTTCAAAATACGGGATGTAGTGATCCTAAAAGCTATTAATATAAAAGTTTTAAATGAAAGAAGGAGATTTAAGGAATTGGGATAATATTGATACCTATTTTTTCCTAAATGAAAAGTAGATTTGGCCTCTTCTGGTGACGCCATCTGCAGGCACTCAGAATGGTCCAGCGTTTGACATATCGTCATAGGCTTTTCTACAATACAACCTCTAGCAAAACTAGGCTGTCCCAAACCCCTGGTAATAGAATTGTTTACCTTTATACCAAGAAGGTTGGGAAAGCACCAAAATCTGCATGTGGCATGTGCCCAGGCAGACTTCAAGGGGTTTGTGCTATGAGACCTAAAGTTCTTAAGAGATTGTCTAAAACAAAGAAACATGTCAGCAGGGCCTGTGGTGGTTCCATGTGTGCTAAATGTGTGACAGGATCAAGTGTGCTTTCCTTATCGAGGAGCAGAAAATCATTACGAAGGTGTTGAAGGCACAAGCACAGAGTTAGAAAGCTAAATAAGAGAATGAAGCTTTTTTGAGTAATAAAAATTGAAAGGCTTGGAATTTTCTGGATCCAAGGTCCTAGTTCGGGCATTTTTTCCTCTGGTTCTTATCAGCATATTTCATTTTAGAAAATAAAAATAAATGTTACAGTTGCTAAGTTTAAATTATTAGCAGAAAATTGCCTACCTCAGAGATTAAAACCAGCGTAACGGCAAGGTCACGTCCCCTGAATCGTGAGTAGGATGAGGGCCTCAGGACCCTGGCGCTTGCTCAGCAGAGAGAGACCAGGCAGTGAGGGAGGCACTGCTTCCTCTCAGAGGACAGGACAGGCCAGGGCTCACCAGTCACAGTCTGTTGCGGGGTCAGCTCTGGCAGGTTCTCTTTGGAATACAAATAGAAAGCAATTTTGCATCCAAAACTGGTTAAATTATTCTGAAATTCAAACATGTTAACCGTTGGGCCTGTGATCAGCCCCGGTCATAGTCACCTCCGTTCATCCTCTTTTGGGGAGGATTGTGGACAAGGGTGAAGACAGATATGGCCATGAGCCCTTCCTGCTTTCTTGGAGAGTGCCCTGAGAAGCCCCAGCATCCGTTCTGAGGCAGCCGGGCTGGCCAGCGGGAGGGCTGACCAGGCTGCTGTTAAGGAGGGGAAGGCTCATGGCGTCGGAAGTTCTGTACCGCGTTCTTGTGTCATGTCCGTCTGCAGAGAACCTGGACGAGACTAGAGAAGAGAAAGAGAAGAGTCCTCCAGACCAGCCCGCCGCCCCCCACACCCCTCCCAGCACTCCCATCAAGCTTGAAGAAGGTGAGCGCTGGGGTGGAGGCAGGTGCCTGGCTGCCCTGCTGCGGGAGGGTGCATGGTCTCATGTGCACTGTGGCTGAGTGTGGCAGTAGCTCTGCTCACACCAATGAAGACGTGTGCATTTGCATTGAAACCAGTACATGACATGGTTCTGAAGTCCCCTGGCCTTTTCTCCTCCTGTGTTGGTTATATCCTGAGTAACTTGAGGCAAAACAGATTCATTAGTGAGCTGTTACGACCAGGTAGGAAGGCCAACTGCAGGGATTGGGGCCACCGTCATTTCTGATGTCAGTTTTGCCCATTGCTTGCACACTTCTCATACTGTATTGTGTTTAGATAACACCTCTGGAGATGCCTTACGTTGTGTTTGAGCTACAGGACTTTGCTGTATCAGTCAGCACTGAGAGTGCTCTACTCCAGTCACTTCTCAGACCCCCGCATGTCTGTGGTGTGATCCCAGACGTTTGTCCCTCAGTCTCGTATATCCGTGTCTCCCGTGAAGCCTGTGGCTCACCCCAGTCCCTGTCCTGTGTTCTGTAAGAATGGCTCGGCCTTTCTTGTGTAACCCAATGGCTGTGACTGAATGCAGAGATTCTCTACTTGTGCTTTTCTCTTCTCGTGGCTGCCTTACACACAGGAGATGGATGTGCTAAAGAGTACCTGTTGCCGTAGTAAGTACCCCACGCCTGGCCCTGCTCTTCTGCCAGGATGCCCTGTGCTTCGCCTCATTCTCTCGCTTCTTTGTTGTTTATTAAATTTTGTTTTCTGTTTATTTAAAATAAAAACACAGGCCCGCCCCCCTTTTTTTTGTATCTAGTCCCTCAGTGGCCTTCCTGGAAGTGGCTCGGTCACCTGAGCACTATGCTGGACAGCCTGCCTGGGCATAAGGAAGGGCTCCTATGGAGCTTCTGCCCCTGCCACTCTGAGCAGTCTGGGCCTCAGAGTCTTCTGTTCAGCCTTCAAGAATCTCTTTTGATTGCTTAGTGGGAAGATTTTACATTGGATCAGACATAAATCCAGAGTAGGTTCACACAGGGTGGGATTCTGCCACCTGGTGCATGGAGTTGGGTTTGGTTGGACCTTTGCTTAAGCTGGGACAGAAAAGTGGTATTTAGCACTTTTTTAAAAATGTGACATTTGGTCAAATGATGAAAGTTCTCCTGAGTACCCCCCAGGAAGCCTCTTTCTTGGAGCATTAACTACATACAGCACGCTTGGCAGAGCAAGGCCACCACCGTGTGCCGCAGCCCCGCTCCTGCCCCACTGAAGTGTGGCCTTGAATTCTGGGGCAGACGGCAGCTGGTGGGTGGGGGCTGGGGTGCTTCCAGCCCCCCATGTGTCAGGGGCCCAGAGCCTTCTGCGCTGCTCCTAACCTGAGCTTAGCTGGAGTCCTCCCTGCTGTCATGATGTTTGGTTGGAAGTTTAAGTACTAAATGGTTTGGTGCTGCCTAACACACCAGTCGCTTATAACTTTGTAGGCTGTTAAAGACTCCACAAAACTGGTGTCCCTTGGGTCAGTGTAGAAAGCACACAGTGGCACCAGCCCCCAGGTGGTTTCTTTAAAAGAAACGACATTTTGGTCTGCACCCTTAGCTATTCCAGATGTAAGACGGCTTGATTCTTTTGCCCTACTCCTTGACTTAGAGTCCATCTCTTTTCTCTTAATTAACTGTCCTGCCTAAATGGCTTTATTTTGTTGGATGTTGATGTCACACATGGGGTCTGGAGTAAACTCATGATTTTCTACTGGCTGTTTTGGGGGAGACCAGGTATTGTGGACAAATTTACGCTTAATTTCAGGACTACTAACACATGCCTTTAGGGGTATAGAGCAAACTTTTATACCCCTTTTCAAGAGTTCAGTGCAGAACACTGAACTCCCTAACACTGCTTGCTTCAATGCCATGTGTCGTTATGGTTGGGGGACAAGGCCCTGTGATCAGTCTGGTTTTGTCAGCATGCTATCCATGAGAAGAAGCTAAAAACCGCCCCGAGACTGTACCTACGTTTTGTAACATTAGCTCCATCCAGCCTTAAAGTAGAATAGACCATCTTTAGTTTCTTGTCATGGTAAAAATCCATAATGTAAGATAAAATGGCAGTTCCCTGTGCTGGGCACTCCTATCTCACACTGCCCCTTGCAATCTGGGCAGGAGCCCTTAAAGCTGTCTCTCTCACCCCACCCACCAGACCTTCCACAGGAGCCGACTTCTGGAGATGACAGCGATGCTGCCACTTTCAAGCCGACTCTCCCTGACTTGTCCCCTGATGAGCCTTCAGAAGTGCTTGGCTTCCCGACATTAGAGGAGGAGGAGGAGGAGGAAGCCTGTGGACTCCCAAGCCCCACCAAGCCCCCCACTGTGGCCTCCACAGCCCCAGCGGCTGAAGAGGCTGCCTCCCCAGCTGCTGAGGAGGGGGCTGTCATAGACCCTGGCAGTGATGGGTCTCCAGGCAAGTCCCCATCCAAAAAGAAGAAGAAGTTCCGCACCCCTTCCTTTTTGAAGAAGAGCAAGAAGAAGAGTGACTCCTGAAGGCCTGCCCTGCACTAACACTGTCGTGTCTGAAGTGACCCTGGCTCCGCCAGAGTCCCTGATTGCGTCTCGTGCTCTGTCCTCTTGTGTAATGGAATGCAAAAAGCCAAGCCCTCCGCCTAGCTAGAACTCCCTTCTCACGCGTGACAGCCCCGTACAGACCGGTGCTAGCCGACTGTGTGCTCAGCAGCCCCCGGCCCACCCCTGTGGGCCTCGGCCTCAGGTTCTGGGGGAGGCTTGGCCTCTGCCTGCTTCTCTGAGATGTGCTCTCCCCATGGGCGGGGGGCACTAAATCGTGGTCCTGGCCAGAAGGTAGTGGAGGCTTCTGCCAGCTCTGGTTGTGGGCTTCACCCTCCTGAGCCTCGACCTTCTCTCCTCCCTTTTCTGCCGTGAAATGGCACATTCTGTCTCCGCTCAGCTTCCCGTCCACCCCGCAGTGTCTCAGGTGACTGAATCAGACTGATGGCTTCCTGCTGGCATCATCCGCTCAGTGGTCTCACTTTATTCCTATACACAAAGCCTTGGTCCCATGAAAACACTCGTGTGCCTGCCATTGGCCCAGGGCACCATGGCTGCCTTGAAGAGGTGAGTTTGGGCTGATGCTGGGCAGAAACCCCAGTGGCACGCGGGCCTGTGTACACCTAATGCGACGCTATGCATGGTCTGACTGATTACCCCTCGACCAAAAACAGATTCAGGAGTTCATAGTTTCCTATTCACTCTGGTCTCTGGATTCCTGTCCTAGTGGGAAGGTATATCAGGAGGGGGAAGAGTCCTTTCTAGAATTTTCTTTCAGCAGATTTACAATTCAGCCTTCACACGTTTTTGACTGTGAACAGGAACAGCACACTTTTTGCTTGTTTTCTTCCTAGAGCCTGCGGCAGCCTGCACCAGAGCACTGGTCACATTTTTGGGGAAGTTTCAGGGGATCTGTTTTCACCTTAGCTTGAAAGGTACCCTGGTTTTGATAAAAAATGACTCAAGGCAGGAGCTTGATGGTCCTGTATAGCATTTTGCATCAGGTATGGCACCTGTAACTCACACTCCTTGATCAAAACCGTTTTTGAGTTTTCACTTAACGGAAAAGGGCTTGAAGCTTAGTGGGAACTGACAGGTGGCCAGATGGAGTCCTCAAGGGTGACCCATTCGAGGAGCTGCCCGGTGCCAGCCTCGCTGGGTGTGGGCAAGTGTGCTGGGGCCCCAGACAGGCCCCCCACCAGCGAGGGGTCCCTGGTGGAGCTGGTGCCAGACATGGGCTTGGGTCTTGGGCATGGTGGGCTAAGCCACTTTGGGTCCCACTGACTTGGTCCCCAAGCAGGACCTGGGGCTGGCTATGGCACTGACCATTGCTTTGAGCTTCCTCTTACCCTGTAGGGCCTGCACTGGTGAGCGAGCTGCTTTCCTCTATGTGCTGTTCGTTGCCAAGGTGGTATTCACATACTTCGCTTAGTCGTGGACTCTTCCTTCATCCGCTCCTTTCACCGCTTCCTTCTATCCCACATATGCAATGACTTTAATTTTCACTTTTGTAGTTTCTTTGTATTACCACACGAAATATAGTTGCATATATGGACATAGACTTGGGAGGGCAGGTCCTAAATGTCCTTTCTTCATTGTAACACGTTTTACTCACAAATAAAATTCTTTAAACAATTTCCTTGTCTAAATCTGGGAAGCAGTTTTAATTTCTTTGCTCACTTTTAATAGGATTTCTAGAAGTTTGTCTCATGTTCCAAAAAGAGATCCCTAAAATGCTTAGAGATCTAATGTAACGTGGTTTGTTAATGTGGGGTGGGGAGGACGGTCTAGCCCAGTGCTCCTGTTACCCTCCCAAGGGTGTCAGGAGCTGCCGGGCTGGGCCTGAAGAGCACAGAAAGCTGTGCTGACACTCCTTGTTCCCCACAATTGGAGCAGACCCCAGATCTCATTCTCACTGTGGCTCAGCACACAGCAGGGTACTCATGTCTGACAGGGTCTGTGATGGGGATGGCCCGAGGGTCCCTCCCCTCCAGCCTGCCAAGGTGCAGGACACACGCCCAAACATCACTTGCAAGGGCTGACCCCAGCCTAGGAAGGCGCTGTGTCTGGCCCCCACTCACTGTGCGGAGGGGAAACTCTTCTGGTCGGTGGAACAATAGAGGCTGCAGCTGTGGCGAGGCAAAGCCTACACCGGAGACAGGCATTTGGTATAAAATAGCTGCTTTATTTTGTCGTTCAGAAACCTGGACAGCCAGTGCTACTGATTAAAAAACAAACGGACAGAAACCTTGAAGGTCCTGGAGTCAGTGCTTGGAGTGACAAGGCAGGGGTGAGGCCACCTGGGGAGCTGCGGGGTAAGGGCAGGCAGGGGCCTGGCCCAGGCTCCCGCTTCTTGCACCCCACAGCCCGCATGCAGCAGCTCAGCTATTTGGCCTTGAGCATCTGCGCTGGACACCCCAGCTTCCGCAGGAGGAGGAAGGGGAGCAGGAAGAGCCCCGAGCACACTGAGAAGCAGACCTGGGCCCCGGCCAGCCAGTACGCTGTGGAGAGACGAGGAGCGCTCACGCACGGCCCGTGTGGCCCGCAGATGGCAGGACTGAGCACTGGCCTTGGCGGGGCTGGGACTGGGGAGGTGAGGGCGGGCACGGGGAGCTGAGGGGGCTTGAGTGGAGCAAGGCACCTGGGTCCCTGGAGGACAGAGTATGCCCATGAGTGCTGCCCCACACCCTTACCTGAGGCTGCCACCACGGGCCCCGCAGCCCTGGCCAGAGCACCCAGGCTCCGCAGTGTGCCCATGACTGTGCCCTTCTGCCCTGGCAAGCCTGTGGGGAGAGGCCGTCAGGTGCCTGCCTGTCCCTCCCACCATGGGCATCCCTGGTCGAGGGAAGGGTTCTCACCATAGCCAGCGACCACAGAGGACAGGCAGGGCACCACGACAGAGGCGGCTGGGGGAGACGTTGGGGAGACACCTGTCAGCTCAGAGAAGGGGTGTGACCCAGCCCCCGTCGGGTTCCCCCCACTCACCGAAGGAGTAGAGCAGCAGCCCCAGGCCCAGCACGGGTAGCGTGTGCCCCCAGCCGATGAGGAGGAAGGCAGGCACCAGCAGCAGGATGGCCTGCAGGGCGGGACACAGAGGCCTCAGGACCCTCCCTGCTTCCCAAAGCGCAGAGTACCACCTGCCACCCACGTCAGGGGGAGCTTCCCTACCCGCTTCACAGCTGCAACTTCCCTGCCAGGGCTGATCCGCCGGGTGTAGATGCCCTGGACGGTGGCCATGCTGAGGCCGATGAAGAAAAACATCTTCCCCTGCTGCAGGCTGGGAGCGGGGGTGTCAGTGCCCCAGCGCTGTGGGCTGACGGATGCCCGGACAGCAGGGTGGGGCAGCCCAGGGGCAGGGCCAGGACAAGAGTGGCCCAGAGGCTTCCTGGATTGGGGCGTTAGGACAGGGAGATGGCAGGGCATCCCCAGACGGGGACCCACCTGCTGAACTGGAAGCGCTGGTGTGCGAGGAAGCTCAGCGAGTACTCCAGGCCCGAGAACAGGAAAAGGTAGAGGAAATAAACCAGGCCCAGGCGGCGCAGGCTGCTGAGCCCTGGGGAGCAGGCGGGAGGGCGCTGTGAGGGCAACTGCCACAGGGAAGGGCTGGCCCAGGCAGCCCAAGGGAGCGAAACCTGCACACTGGGGAGAGCACCAGCTCCTTACTGTCTCCAGTGAGTGGGTCCTGGCCACGGGCGACAGCTGAGAAACGCAGTAGGGCCACAGGGCTGAGCAGATCAGTGGCATTTCCGAATCCCAGGGCGACGGAGGGTGCCTGCGGGGACCAATTGGAGAGGCCTGCCAGGAGGCGGGGCTGGCTTCTGGCCTGGCAGCCTACTAGCAGGCAAGACCTCTGCATCCTGCAGGGCCCCCAAGACACAATGTATCCCCAGGAAAGGGCAGCCCAGCCTCCCCTAGCATCTGGGATTGGCACGTGGGGACATTCTACAGACCCATGGACCAATCCCTGTCCCCTGGGCCTGTCAGTTCTAGGCCCTGGCCCTACCCGCTTCTCTGGGGGCAGCGTCTCCGGCAGGAAGCAGAAGATGAACAGCAGGTCCGAGACTGCAAAGAGCAGGGCGAACCAGGGTGCTGCCTCCACGGACACGGAGGCACCGAGCATGGGGCCCAGTGTGAAGCCCAGTGAGAAGGCCACCCCGATGACTGCCTGGGGAGAAGGCTGTTTGAGTTGGGCAGGCAGACCAGGCCCAGAAGTCCCCACCCAGACCCCTCATCCCCCAGCCTGTACTCACCATGCCTTGGCTGCGGGCCGGAGGGGAGCCCAGGTCAGCAATGATGGCTGTGGAGAGGCTCACGTTCCCCTTGCTGACGCCCCCGATCACCCTAGAGACCAGGAAGGCCGCGAAGCTCCGAGAGGTGGCCCACACGGCATATGAGGCAGCCAGACCTGTCTGCCCAGGGGCAGGGGCCAAGGGGCAGGTCACTTGAGGCCACGAGGGGCCCAGACGGGGGCTTGGCAAACACAGGCAACCCCTTTTGAACCCTGCCCTGTTCTGAAGCATCCAAGGGCCACTTGTGTTCCTGATCCCCCCCTAGGTGGCCAGGAGCAGCTCCTAGACAGCCTGGCACAGCAACAGGAGCCACTGCTCGCTCAAGGACCCCCTCTGGGAAGTGACAAGGGCCAACCAGTGGCCATGAGCAGCCCACAGTCCCCAGCCCAGCCCCACGGGGATGCTGGGTGTAGGGAGGCTACGTGCTCCCACCCTTTGGGCACCCAGCTCCAGAGATGTACCAGGGACAGCAGCATCACCGGGCGCCTCCCTAGGCAGTCAGAGATGGCCCCAGTGATTGGTGCCGAGAGGAACTGCAGGACGGAGAAGACCGAGCCAATGAGACCTGAGAGAGAGGTTACTGTCATGGGGCTGCCTTGGGCCCCAAGCTGTGGTCCCAGGGCCCCCAGGGCTAGCAACCAGGGGTCCGATCACACTGGGCCCTGCATTCACAGGCCACAGACCTTGGGCCACAGAGGACCCAAAGGAGAGACACGAAAAGACACAAGGAAGCGGCAGATCATGCCCTGGAGCCAGAATGTGTGGGCAAGGTCACCAGATTGATGGGAGACCAGGGAGTGAGGAGGAAAGAACAATGTCCACCAAAGACAGGACCCTACAGAGCCCCCAGCTTGGGTCAGGGGCTATACCTCCGAACAAGACGCTGTTGTATCTCTTCTCCACTGGCATTCCAATGGCTGTGGCAAACCAGTCCACCCCACGCTGCCACGAGCCATAGAGGGGGTCCTGGGAGATAAGGAGGCAACAGGTGCTGGGCAGGTCCGTGCAGGGCTTGGGGAGGGGGGAGCTCTGGCCGAGGGCGGGAGGCTCACGTGGGCACGGCCGTGGCTCTCCAACAGCCCGGGCAGCAGGGGCAGCAGCAGAGTGAAGGCCAGGAGGTCCAGCAGGAGGCCCAGGAAGACCACGGTGACCACGCGGCGTTCTGGCGCTGGCTGCTGGCGGATGGGTGGGCGCGGGGTGCAGCTTCCACAGCCTCCCCATCCCATGGTGCGCTGCTCCGACCCGATCTGGCCAGTGGTGTGGCAGGTCCAGTGAGCACACACGTCTGGATACTCTAGCACCCAGCTCCCGCCATGCCCCCGACCCGCCAACAGCCGGCAAGCTCCCTAAAGGGGATGCCTGTCCAGTCCTGCTGGGGGGCGCCCATCTCCCCAACGTCCCCTGCCCCGCCCCGCCCCGGATAGCAGGACACTCAGGCTTCCGGCTGCAAAGAAACCGCAGTACAGAGGCCGCCCACCCAGGGGCCAGGGCGAGGACATCGCGGCCCACGTCCTTCTAAGCAGCCGGGCAGGGAAACTGAGGCGGGGGGCGGGACCTGGGCGGGCGCGCCCGCCGACCCTGCCCGACGGGGAGCCGGACCCCGCCCCTGGCTCAGCCTCCTTGGCGGGGTCGCGGGGCATGCACCGGACAGGGAGCGCTCACCCCACACCGCGCCCCCATCGGGATCGCTCCCCCTGCCCCGCACCTGCCGCAACCGCGCGCCCGGAATGGACGGACTGACGGACGGACGCACCCGAGCGCGCTGCGGGGCGGGGCCCGCTTTGCCCGCCCCGGAAGTGACATTAGCAGGGCGTCCTCTTCCGGCCGACGGCGCCGGCTGTTGGGAGGTCGCACACTGACCTGCGCTTGGGCTGGGTGGCCGTGGGCCGGTGACGGCGGCTCTTTCGGGGTCAGGGCGGCCGCGAGTCTCGCCGCGCAGAGGCCGACGCTGCGGGCCGGAGCCGGGACCCACGCAGATCCCAGCCCTGGAGGCTCGGAGCTTGGCGTGAGCGACAGGCCACGGCCTCACGCGCCCTAGCCTCTGTGCCCCGGGCTGCCCCTCGCCCCGCTCCTGCCGCGGGCGCCTCCCGCCCGCCGTCACTCACAGACTCAGCGGGGCAGCGCGCGGTGCCCGTGGGCCCTGGGGTTGGCCGTATGGTCTCTGTTGAACTGCTTTTCTGTGTCTGCTGATGGGCCTGGAGTCCCAGGCAGGGCTGAGGAGGAAAGGGAACGGGAGTTGGGTGGGCAGAGACCATTGAAAGCCACGGGATCAAATTGGCACCTCGCCGGTCCCGTGACCCGGCCTCCAGCCTCGCTGCCCCGGGCCACAGACCCAAGGGAGTTCTGGGTCTGGCTGCTGCCCGTCCCGGGGTGGGCTAGCAGACTCACAGAACTGTGTCCGCACGCCTGGCTTCAGCCACCTCCCTCTTCCCTTCCACCTTTTAACATTTGTGCTAATCTCTTTTGTAGCCAACCCCAAGCAGAAACACACAGGGAAGGGAATAGCGTGGCACTCATACACCCTTGTTAAACCATACAGAACTTGGCAAATACAGATAATAGTGAAGTCACACTTCTGCCTAATAGATGGTTATTCCATCCACAGCCCAAAAGGCAGTATGCGTTAGCTCTTTCACCAAAGACAGCTGTCCCTTTTGCTTCCCCTTCAACGACAACTGGCCCACAGCTGGGGCTTATCCATCCCATCCTGGATTGAATGGCCAGGCCTCGGCTGAGCCCAGCACCAGACATGGTCCCACTTTCCTCCTGCCTGGTTCTCTCTCCTCTTTCCTGGGGCAGTTGGGCCACTGTCCGCAGGGGCTAGGTCAATTAAAATGGCAACCATCCCGGAACCATCCTGGGGGAGGCTGGATAAGATGCCTGTGTCTAAGCAGTGCACAAGATATAGTCCCAGCTACTGGGGAGGCTGAGGTAGGAAGGAGTTTGAGGTCAGCCTGGGCAATGTGTACAGACCCAGTATCTATCAAAAAAACAAAAAAATGTTTCCTGTCTCTGGTCCAGTGTGGCCTGGGCTTCAGCCCCAGGAGTGCTCTGTCCCTGTCTTCCACTCTCCAAATGGAGACCCACTCATTCAGACCTGCTGGTCCAACTATCGCATTGACTCTGCCTCTCACATCCACGATCACTCATTCTGCCCCAGCCATGGTCTCAACACCTTCCAACATGTCTAAGATCAAACTCCCGATTCTCCCCCCATCTTCCTTGGTGAAAGATCCTATACCCCATTACAGAAGCCGAAAGTGGGCCCTTGGTTCATTATCACTTCCTCACCTCCCCCAGGCCCAGTCTGGTTAATCTGTGGTCACTGCTGTGGCTGATGTGTGACCAATGGGATGGACCTCTTCATGCAAGCAGGGCTGGTCACAGCGTGATCACGTGTGAACCTGATGTTGGGCACCTTCCCTGCTGGCTCCGAGGACAGGCTCAGCACTTGCCCTGCACTGCAAGGACTGTCACCCCGGGAGTACAGGGCGACCTCCCACTTCAAAACCTCCCTCAGGAGGCAGCGGGTCCCAACAGGGTTCACATCCCTGCAGGCAGGAGGCATCAACATTCAGGGGGTGGCCCCAGGGCTAGTCTGTGAAGTTTAAGGGGCTCCTTTACTTCCCGCAGCTCACAGCCCAAACCCAGGTGCTGCCCTCTCTTCTGGCTAGTGCAGGGTGAGAACACTGCTGCCTAACATACAAGCTTCTGGCCTTATCTGTAACTTCCACAACTTTTAACTTATTCTGATCCCAAACTTAACAGACCACAGGCCAGGTTAGTGCAGACGTGGCCCAGTCTCATCCTACCTCCTGCCATGCTGTGCCCTGAATGGGGGCCCCAGCACCCAGAAGCATCTATAGACTGAATTAGGACAATGCCAAGAGTGGCTATTAGGTTGGGGAGGAGTCTGGATTTTTTTGATTTCCAAACTATCTGCAAACTTGTTTCATTTATAATTGAAAATACAATTTACACAACATACTGTACATAAGAAGAGTGTCTCCAAAGAATATAGGAATTCAACCAACTTGAGCCATCAACCTGTTTGCAGCCTTTGTTTAGAGGCCCGTGGCTACTCAGCTGGTGCAAACTAGTCCCTGGCAGACCCTGGTCGCCTGCAGGTGCACTCAGGTGAACTCTGCGCATTCCCAGACCAAGTCTCCAGCCCAGGAGGAACTGCAGCTTCATTACCATAGCATGCGACTTCTGTGTGACCCAACCCTACACACATAAAGGACACCATGCCCCTCTATGTGAAAACGCATCTTTTTCTCTCCTACCCCGTAAAACCCCAGGCCCCTTTCCCTTGGGGAGATGCTGCTTTGGAAGATACTCCTGGCGCTCTCCTCACTTGCTGCAATTGAAACTCCTACCGATCAAGACTTGCGTTCTCGTGGAGAGTAATTTGTCACTTGCCAGAACAAACCCCCATCTTTGGGGTAACAATATTAAATAACACTAAATCCTGTACACGAAAGCAAGTGTCTGTGCTTGACCAAAAATTCCATTAGCCAGAACCCCCAGTCCCAAACCTGGTGGTGATGACTGGAGGCGCCTCTAGACATAAGCCAGTTATTGGTAACCTATTTACCACAGCGCTCACTGTTTCCAGTTCCAAAAGCACATCTCAGAATTCATCCTATTGAAGGAAGAGACGTTTTAACAGGAACTAAAGCACAGGGGAGAAAAATCGTACTGACATTACAGCATCCTTTATTGCTCTTATTTAAAAAATTTTTTAAAATTTTCATTTTTTCTCAAGATGGGTCTCCCCACATTGCCCAGGCTGGAGTACAGTGGCTGTCTGCAGTGCAACCCCACTACCAATGAGCACAGGAGTCTGACCTGCTCCATTTCGAGCCTGGGCCAGCTCACCCCTCCTCAGGCAACCTGGTGGCCCCAACTCCCGGGCTGTCACCACAGCGATACTGAACTTAGTTTGGACACCCAATCTGCCTAAGGTGCTACAAACCATGGGTTCAAGAGATCCTCCTGCCTCAGCCACCCAAGTAGCTGAGACTACAGGTGCCACCACGCCCGGCTTAATGTTTTTATATTTTGTACAGACAGGGTCTTGCTATGTTGCCCAGGCTGGTCTGAAACTCCTGGCCTCAAGCGATCCTCCTGCCTCAGCCTCCCAAAGTGTCACAGACTCCTGGCCTATTTATTTATATTTTAATATTACTTTTAATGTACAATAGTTTCTTGCCTAATTTACAAAACAATTTCATTTTTTGAACTTCTTCCTCTTCAGAGCCTTCCATTCACCCTCCTGAGTGGCCAGGCTGTTGAAAAGCTGCCTTACTTTTCGCTTTCTTTCTGCATCCCTAAAAGAAACAAAAACAAATGCCATTTTAGGTTAGTTTTTGGAGGGTGTCTTGCCCCTTTTCACATAAGAACCACAATAGCCTGCAGCTACCACGTCCAGGACAAACGGAGAGAAAACGAAGGGAAACGAGTCTACCCGCCTCAGACTCAGCCACTGCCCACGCTGTGCACGCAGCACAAATGCTGCGGTCCCACCACGGCTGTGCCCACACATGCCCCCCTCACCGCTCCATGATCTCTGAGAGCTGCATTCTAGCCAGGAACTGATTGTCCTTGCGGATTTCCCGGACGGCGCCCTTGAATTCCCGCTTGTGTTTGTGGATGAGCTTCTTTCTCTCTTGCTCCTCCTTACTGCTGCCTTGCTTCCTTCCAAACTCGAGGCTAAAACCAGAAAGCCAGGTAAGGAGGCAGGAGTCAGTGACACCCTGCCAGGAAGTGTGGCTACCCCCGACCCCCCCCCCGCCCCCTCCCTCCCTGCCCCTTCACTCAACTACGGAACAGGCAGCCACCCCCCAGCTCCCGCTGAACCCAGGCCTGGGCCTCCCAGGGAGACGCTGCCAACACCCACACTTTGACCAGACGGGGCGTGAACAACTTCAGCGGGACAGGCTTGCTCTTCTCACAGGTCAGTGGCCGGTAGAGTTGCTTTTGGTTTTCCATTTCTGTCAATACACTCTGATACAGCTCCTAAAAACATGGAACGCGCTGACACTGTGATGATCCGTCCACCCTGTGCCTCCACGGGCTTCTCCTGTGGGCCCCTCCATGTCAGGAGAAGAGAATACAGAGCCTGTGGCCCCCCACAGTGGGACAGCATCTTGTCACACCTCCCGCAGCCATGGCTCCACTGTCCCCCACCCAGTCATTAACTGAGGGGCTGGAGGGTTTATGCAAGTAGTCACAATAGTCTGTGCTGCTTGCATCCAGGAAACATAAACAGAACCCTCTTGAGCAGAGGAACTTGGCAAGACAGGGCACAAGCGACCCACTTTTTGTGGAAGCACATGGGAGAACCACCTTCCCATGATGGTGACATGTACACACCAGAGTCCAGGTATGCAGAGCAGCATGATGCAACCAAGCAGAATGGGGTCTCAACCAGTCTTGGTGATTTGACCTTATTTTTACTCTCCCAAAACCACATGGGTAAGGCGCTCACTTAAAGCCTTAGCTTCCAGGCAGTTGGCTGGTGGCTTCTGAGGAATCATGCAGGAACTAGTTCACTAATGTTGGTCCCACCCTTTCCCTGTGTGACAGGTGTGTCCCGGAACTCAGGCTACCTGGCCGCCTATACCCGCAGGCACAGCCAGCCCTCAGCCTGTTGGAATGTAACCTCCAAGTGCCCAAATGCCTAATCTCCATGGGGACTCAGTGCAAGGGCACGGCCAGCTGAGTCTAACCATAAACCCGTTGTGTCCCTTTGGCCAGCCCAAATTTTGTAGGACCACAGAGCCACTCTGTCCTTTAAATGAAAGACAAGCTACAGCCATGTCTGCAGGAAGTGGATACAGATGCTACTGTCTCATCCTCATCCTCAGACCAGGTGAGGTGACTCCATGGGCAATGGGGCTGGTCTGCTCTATGCTCCAGGGACACGCCAGGAGTGGAAAAGCTGAGTTGCTGTCCTCATGGAGCTCACGTCCTAGTGGGGCAGAGACGACAGCACAACGTACCCGAAGTGGTTAGCACTTGGAGAAGCAGCCGAAGTATCACCAAGCACTGCAGCCAAGGAAGGCCTGGCTTCCCGAGGGCAGGGGACAAGCCACACAGCCCAGGACAGCTCCAGGCAGAAGAGCAACTGTGAAGACCCTGATTGAGGGGCAGCACAAGGAAAGTCGCCAGGGCCTTGAGGCCAGGTAACACTGGCCTCATGCACAGCAATCTGGACATTCCAGACGATTCAGGGATGCCACTGGAGATGCGAGATGCATGCACGGCACTCGCACCTCCTGCTCTAAGGGCACCTGGGGGCTGGCGTGAGCTGATGGCAAGGCAGGTGGGAAGCAGGCAGACTTGGAATGGACGTCCCTGGAATACAGAACTCATTTTATGTACACACAGGAGTGCCTAAGTCCAGCTGAGAAGGCCTCTCAGGGCTGTCACCTTGTGGACCATGGGACCATCCTCAGGAAACTCAGCAGGTGACTGCAGAGCTCAGGTGCTCTGCGTGGCCTGGAGCCAACTGTCCAGACCCTGGTTGGGGCTGAAGGGACCCTCGACAGCTGGGCGTTGATGGACTTTCCGTGCAGCCTCCTGGAGGTGGCACCCGACGATGTGATGGTTCCCAGGTAACGCCAGGATCCATCCAGACTCTGCTGCTCACTGTTATTTTATTTTGTGCCTATGATTTTGCAGAGATGGTGTCCCTGACTTTTAGAGTTGCAACCTCAATGACAAAAGGTCAACTAGCCTGGCCCAGCTCAGGGACATGTCTGAGCTGGGCAGAGCACCCTGGTGGCTAGGAAGCCTCACCTGGAGCTCGTGGGGATGGCTGCAGTCCATCAGGTGCTCCGTCAGGAGGGCTCGGACAGGACTTGTGATGGCGTGGAAGGACGGCAGGGTGCTGTACATGAGCACGCAGCGCTTCAGCAGGGACAGAGCCACGGCCACACAGGAAAGTCTGGGAGGGCAGGAGGCAAGAAGGGGCCTAGCTCAGGCTACTTCAGTCACCAACAAAACAAATGACTTTGGCAAAAATGACCCCTACCCACCAAGCTGAAAAGCGCGGGCCATCTCAGGTCAGGGTTCAGCATCTAACCCATAGGGCACAGCATCGGGCATTGGAAAAAAATGTCACCACACTTCCCTGAACAGGAGGGAAGGTTGTGGGAAACAGTAACAACTTGAAGTGGCGGCTCCATTTTAGTTTCCAAATTAGTATTTAGGAAATCGAACAAATATATTTTGCAAGTAGTTTAGGAAAGGTTTGCTTCCACAGGGGAAAGTGGCCATCGTACCAGCAAGCCTCAGAAAGCCTCTCAACCCAACGTAAATCCAAACAGCCAGGTTGGCAAAATTAGCTAAAAATAAAATTTGTGGTGAATCAAAAAGCACCAGTGGTTTCTTCTGCCTTTTGGGCTGCTGGGCCACCGGGCCACCGAGTGCCCCAGGAGCCTGCTCCCCGCCCGTACCTGATGTGATTGGCCTCAGTGGCTGTCTGGGTTCTCGGTCCACTCGCCCAGCGCAGGGAGAGGCTGCTCCTCTGCCACGTGGCCATGTCCTCTCTGTCGGAGACCAGGAGCAATTCGGAGTTCTTCCCACGTGCTCTGAAAGGGTGCACCAGAGCGTAACCTGAATTCCAAGTGCGATAGGACAGAGATGGCCTGAACGTTAATGGGCTCACAGGGCAGGCTCTGTGGTGCCAAGCCTGTAGCAAGTTCACATTTTAACAGACATGTACTGATTTTTTACCACGTTCCCTGGGTTGTGCCAGACACTGAGAGTTTTAATTTGGACAGAGACGCCACATACTGAGGTGGTGGAAGCTTTGGCGGAGGCAGGCCTGACCCCGCCTGGGAGGCCCGCTTGCCACACAACTTCCCGTGGGCCAACTGCATTATCACATATGGCCCCCCGGTGCTTAGGCCACGACCAAGAACCGACCAAAGTTCCTGCCCTTGTGGCTGACAAGGCAGGAATCTGCACCCATGGAAGTAAACGAGCTAGACAGAATGTGAGAAAGCAAACGCACAGACAGAAGGCAGGCAGAAGACAAGGGTGAGGTGGGAGTGCTGGGTGACCAGGAGGCTAGAGTTCACTGTAAGGGTCAGAGACAGCATCTCCGAGGGGTGGACATCAGCAGAGACCCGGAGGATGTACAGGAGTTGACCCAGCATCTCCTATGAGGGCACTCAAGGCAGAGGGAATGGCCTGCGGGGGAGACTGCAGAGCAAAGCAGGAGGGGAAGGAGGTAGGTCGTCCTGTCCCGCCCCTCCCACCAGGGCCAGATGACCGCCCCTTCCCACTGCGGCACGGCATGCTGAATTGTCACTGACCTGAGCATGGGTCCCGCTAGGTGGGGAACAGGCTGGAGGACCAGGCTCCTCTAGTGCCCAACACTGAGCCCAACAGAGGAGCAAGTGGTATCCTGGGAATCAGTGCAAGTCAGAGCTAGGGACAGCCCCGTAGGGGAAGTCATGCCACAAAGGGGAAGCCAAAAGACAGGCAGCAGACTTGGAGTGCTGGAGGGACCGCCTAGACACCTCTCCAAAGGACACGACTGAAGGTGGGAAGCAACACGCCAGTGTCGTTCCTCAAGTGAGCGCCCTGGATCACAGGTGCTCAGCACCGCACCGTGCACCGGAACTAGGGGCTCGGGGTCCTCAGCCTTACCCCAGCACTCCCAGGGGGAAGTGGCGAGTGCTGGGGACGCGTCCAGAAGGGGCGGTGGGCATGATGGGAAGCCCTTGGAAGGAAGGAGTGCCAAGGTGAGGATACCAAGTAGAAGATCAACAAATGGGGAAACTCATTAGAATGCTGCTTTCGACTCTCTCCTTCCTAAATTCTGAGCATTACAGAAACTGTATAGAGCAGAGCTGTCCATGTGAACCACATAAGTGATTTAAAATTTTCTTATTGTCACATAAGAAAAAGTAAAAAGGTAAGATTAATTTTAATAAAACATTTCATTTAACCCAAAATATCAAATTATTGCAACACATAATATAAAAAATTACTAAGATATTATATATACATGTGGCACTGAGTCTTGGCTATCTGGGTGTATTTCACATTCAGGGTACATCTCAGTTCAGACCTGCCACATGTGGCTACCAGACATCGGCTGGACAGATAAGCCACACTGCTGGTGCACCAACATGTGGTGTGCACACGTGTTCACACAGGGAGAAAGAGGATGCTCCTCGGGATGGTAGGACCAAGGGGTTTCTTGGCTTTTCTCTACTTTTCCATATTCTAAACTTCCTATGATGAATATGAAGCACTTAAAAAAATTCTGAAGTACAAAATATTTGAAAACAGCTCCTCAGATCAACTCACCTTGGCTTTGTTTGTTTGGCGTTGCTATGTAAAGAATCCCAAGAATATAATTCACAAGCTCAGGTATAAACCTCTGAGACAAAGACACGTACTCCAGGAACAAGCAGCACACAAACAGGCCCTTCACCACGTCTTGCAGGGACAGGACAGGGCACTGCAAAGGAACACAGTGGACAGTCACTATTCTGGAATAATGTTCTGGAATATTCCCAGATGAACTGCACACACAGGCAGCCTCATCTGTGCAGAGGGAACCCTTGCACCTCACAGAGGTGCTGAGGGCATCAGGTGAAGATGAGACAAAGAGCTTTACTACTGTATTGATTATAAAGTTCCTCACTGCTGCATTGATTATAAAGTTCTCTATTGCTGTACTGATTATGAAGTTCTTTATTGCTGTATTGATTATAAAGTTCTCTACTGCTGTATTGATTATAAAGTTCTACCACACGTAGGGGGACAATCACTGCAGTAAGCACGCACCAATCACGTGGCTATGAATGAAAAAAAACTGTGAACTTTCTTAAGCCAAAAGGGGAACAAAAGCCCTTATCACACTTGATACTTTCACCACTAACTTGAAAGGCTGTTTTCTGGGTCACAGACCCTCTATAACTCTTGAGTTGCTAAACAGTCCCCTCAAGCTCCGCCTGGGGCTGCTGGGGCTGGGCGTTCTGGTGCGAGGCTGGGGCCACTTCTGATCCAGAACTCCTCCCTCCAAAACAGGACCCTGCAGACAGGCTTTCTGACGCCTGACCTTAGGGGTCAATCTCCATGACTCTTAAACTGCCATGCTCTTATTCAGCAGGGCCCCGAGATTTGGGTGTGATGGCCTTTTGGAGAAGCGGGGCTGGCCCACTGCATGTGGAGGAGAGGACACACCTTAGTGAGCAGCTGGCTCATGCACACCAGGGCGGGAGTCACGACTGGGTGCCAGAAGTCAGAGGTCGGAAACAGCAGCCCCACAATCTTCAAATAAATGAGCTGGAAAGAAAGTGATATCATGCAGATTAAAGAAAGTAAAATAAAGTTTAAAATAATGCCTTTCAAAAGGGCTCAGTAGCAAAACCAGTACTAAAGCTCCCGACGATACAGAGCAGAGCAGCTACGGACACCGGGTCTTCATGGTGACGTCGGCTTCCACCTCCCCGCAGGGCAAAGCTCCCTCACCACCCCGACACACACCAGCTCACACTCTGCCTTACACCCCACACACAGTGAGACTTCTGGAAGGTGCGACGTTTTTCGCTCATAACTAGAAACCGGATGGGGCGGCCCTCTCTCGTGAGATTTGCAAGGTCCCAGCCTCAAGTCTTGGTGCTGCACGCTCACAAGGCCAGGGAGGGCATCTGCCAACTGGGTGCTCAGTGCCTTCCTCCCTCAACTCAGAAGGAGGCAGCTGGGAGGTCTCAGCATCCAATGCCATCAGTTCTGCTCTAAGGTCATAAGTTCAAAGGGAAGAAACATCTTTGCCTTTCTAATTCCAGTACACAAAGCACACCAGGAAGAATGGCAAACGTTTCACAGTTTGCTTTGGCCCTGGGCACACACCTAGCCTCTGCACCACATCCCGACATTATGAAGATGATGTGGTGCCACTCTCGGAGTGGCCACAACAACTATTTCCAGAAGAATCCATCTTTGTCTTGGCAGGAGGCAGCCTCTCATATCTTGGGTTAGAAACTTTATCTTCCCACATAACAAAGCATAATTTTTTCTCCATTAGAAGCTAAAATGAAGGCTAGGATGGATATAGAGATAGCAACTTTCTCAAGTACAGAAAAACATCAGTTAACTGTGTGCAGCACAGGAGAGTAGCCGAGAGCCTGCTCAGTGGTGAAATCCTGGCACAGCAACCCACCAGTCAAGTGACCCTGGGCACACTGCCTGAGCCCTCAATTTCCTCCTCTGTGCAATGGGTATGCCGAGCTCATGCCTACGGAGTCATGGTAAGGATGGGAAAAGACGTCATGTGTGCCCAGCCTGTTGCTGTAGTCAGCAAAACATGCTACTTATCACTGTTCCTTTTTCACCTAGACCTTTAAAAAAATATTTACCCAGAAATATCTTACAGACTGCCTGAGCAAAACAGAGTTGAACTTTTCACAAAGGACAAATAATAAGAGACAAGTTGTTTTTAATAGCTTCTAGTTCTGTCTGTCAGCTGTCACACTAGGGTCGCCTGAGCAGCAGCCTGTCAAATGAAGCCCTTTTTCCTGCAAAAACTGGTTTCCAAAGCCAGAGCCAGGGAGCATTCAGGTACTGCGCTGGAGAGGAACCCTTATTATCAGGGATGGAGGGAAGCCTCGGGAATGGCCTCACACTCAGCAGGACGAAAGACTTTTTTTGTTTGTATTGGCAAACAAGAGTCCTCCCCACCTCACAAGTCACGATGTTTCACTGGCTTGTTTTTATTACAAAAACATACAATGGCAAAAACCACTATAAGCAAAGTCAACAGACTTTGGGAAAAGTTTGCAACTCATTAAACAAATGGTTAGTTTCTATCATACAGAATTCCCACAAAAATCACTAAGACCGACCAACAATCTAATGGAAGAACTTGCAAAAAACACAAAAAGCCTGCACACAGAAATTAACTTGTCTTACACACATAAAAACATTCTTAGCTTGATTCATAGTAAGAGAAATGTAAAATAAAACTATGTCAAGGGCCGGGCACGGTGGCTCACGCCTGTAATCCCATCACTCTGGGAGGCCGAGACGGGCGGATTGTTTGAGCTCAGGAGTTCGAGACCAGCCTGAGAAAGAGCGAGACCCCGTCTCTACTAAAAATACAAAGAAATTAATCGGACAGCTAAAAATATATAGAAAAAATTAGCCGGGCATGGTGGCGCATGTCTGTAGTCCTAGCTACTCGGGAGGCTGAGGCAGGAGGATCGCTTGAGCCCAGGAATTTGAGGTTGCTGTGAGCTAGGCTGACGCTATGGCACTCCACCCCAAGCAATGCAGTGAGACTCTGTCTCAAAAAAAAAACAAAAACAAAAACAAAAACAAAAAAACTATGTCAAGGTACCTCACTTATGTTTCACATTGGTGAAGAAAAGACAGACTGAACTGGCAAGGCTGTGGGGACATGGCCCAACAGCGTTAAGAGGAGGAGGAGGGGATGGACGCCAGTCCCTCCATGGCACATGCTGAGTGTGCACAGGTACACTGGACTCCACAGAAGTGAGATGAACGATAAATCAACAAGAGGACGGTGACAAGTGACTTGGGAAAAGGAGGGCAGAGATGAGGGTGTTGGGGCTGAGGGGGGCTGCAACTTTAAACGGGGTCAGAAAAGGTCAGTTGGGAGGACGCTTAGCACAGAGACCCGTGGAAGGGGAGGGGTGCAGCTGGGGGCTGGGGTGCGGAGCTGAGCTGATGGGGCCAGGGCAGGAGGTCTTACTGCTTGGCTGAGTACATCTCCCCCTCACAGGACATGTGGACCAGAGCTCCAGGTTTCCATTCTGGTTGCTCAACAGGCCTTGGTTCTGATCATCCAAACTCCGAAGCCAGCACTTCTCACAAGCTGCCAGGGTCCAATTTCATATCACTTTTCAATGCAGGTACAAAGAGACTGGGAACACCTCCAAACCAGGGACTGCAACATCACCCTGAGCAGGGCTCAGGACAAGGCTCAGGAAGACAGACACCCAGCACTACCCAGCCTGCCTCCTCTGTGGCCCACCTCGGGGTGCTGAGAGGAGTCAACAGGTCGGGTCATGGAAACTCTGGGACCAGGGCCAGTCCAGGCAAAACCTCAACATTAGCAGTTACCATTATTAGTTTAAAAACAAGAAAGCCGAGGTCCAGGAAGGCCACGTCCCTGAGGAGGCAGGAGACAGTGTCATCCCCATGACACAAAGCTGAGCCGATTACATGTTCCCAGGATCACATTTGAACACACACACGTGGCTGTTTTGTTTTAGATATGACAGCAGCAAGCTACGCTTTGAGGAGACCTGCTGCGGGTAAGGCAGAGCAGCCCACAGGCTGTACCAGAGGGGCTGCGGGCTTAGCACAGCAAGGCTTCTCGCCACCTCGCTGCAGGCTCTCACCACGGGCACTGACACATCCTCCAAGCACCCGGAACCCGCCACTGTGATACTCATGTGAACTTAAGAGACGTTAGGCACCACCCAGTAGGCCCCATGTTCTCCTTTCTGGTCCTGGCAGGGACTCTTAGGATCACCACAGAGCTACTGGGAGCGCCTTCTAAAGGGCCCCAGGCCCCAGGCCAATGTGGGGCTCTAAGGAAAATGGGGCTCAGGGAGGCAGGGCCAAGAGGGAGCCCCTGCCAACTCCATGGCACACTCTGCCCTTGCCACGGCAGTGATAACACCACAGTGTGACCTACAGGAAGAGTCCTGGTGGTGACAACTGTCGTTTACTGACAGCAGTGTTGAAGCAGTGACATGACCATGTGACATGTGTTCACTCGCGCATCCTCATGTCAGCCTCACCTCGTAGGTACCAGTTTAGAATCATCACCCTTATACAGCCGAGGAACATGGCTCAGAGAGGCTGAAGAACCCACCCAGGACTAGAGTTCGAGAGGACGTGGGTTTAAGCCCGATGCCCGATGACATGCACGACTAACACCCCTCAGTGGCAAGTGGGCTCCAGAGAGGCAGAGATTCAGTGTCCTCGGCTCAAGGCTCTCACCTCAGGCTCACAATCACCCAGCAATCGCTGGTTAGACAGGCAAATGTGCAGCAAGGACGCTGGGCTGAAGCTCACAAAGAACTAATCACAGGAGCCAGCAACGGTCTATGGACACCACCTCACATCGTATTTGAGCAGTCTGCTAAAACCACTAACAAATTCTGTATTTTTAAACCTCTACTAATTATTGCTAATCCATTTCAGCACAATCACTAGAAAATGGAATAAACAGCATTTCTGAGCAAGTATTTTTTAAGTTACTTAAGTTGAAGACACAGCACGAGGCCGTTATAAAACTGTCAAAGGGGCTGGCAGCCCAGGGTAGGCAGGCGGGCCTGGGGTCTAACAGTTCTTGTTCCTGTCACCGTTACCATGGCTACTAGGGTTTTTTTTCCCCTAGCTCCTGTTTGGTTTAGCTCCTTAATTTCAGGATGAAACTAAGCGATGAAATGACTTAAAAATGAGAAGAGGAAAATGAGAATGTACAAAATAAAGTAGAATTTTCTTGGGTTGGGAAATAATACAGTGCATTAAAAAAAAACAAAACTTGAAAATCGCAGAGCAGTCCAAATGTCTCTCAACCTTTAAATAAACAGAAAAACCAAGACCAAGCAAAACCAGCCCATAGGCTTGGGGCCTGAGGGACAATACAGTGCTTCTGCTGCCTTCCAACGACTCTGCCATCAAGAACAAACAAACACCATTTACATGGAATCAAACCAGAACCTCGTTACTATACACATTTCATTGAGTTGATAATGGCAGGACCACGTCGCTGTAGTTCTCTCTCCAGATCACTGTGGACACTCCGGGCATCATCAACTTCTCATAGCCACGTGCACGGCCCCCATCATCAGCCCTCCAAGCAACGCTGAGCAGAAGCTGACCTGTGGTGGCTGTGAGAATGGCTGGACTAAACGCCTCTGCTTACCACGTCCAACCCTGGCAATGCTGCCCGGCCTTTGGTCTCAATCATTTCTTCCATCTCATGCATGGCATCTCGGAGGACAAATTTCACAGAGTCACTTGCAGATTCAGGAAACATCTGGCAAAGACTATATAACTGCCTGTTAAGCAGAAACGTTAAGTCAGGAGAGAATGATTCCAGATAACAAAAACAAGGAAAAAAACCTCCCAAACCATTTTCCTGTGAAGTCACCCGCTGTCTGAGTAAGTTAGAACTGGAAGCCCCTGGATGAATCCACTTTTCCTCTTCCTGACATCTGGCTGGCCTTCCTGGAGGCTCAGATAATTTTTCTAAAAGTTTACACTCGTTTTTGCCATTTCCTAAAAATCTGGCCCTAACTTTTAGTAGTATGGGAGGTGATGGTGGAAATAGCTCTATTCGTAATAATAATCCTGTTGGGAAAACACTGTGTGTGCCAGCTGTGGCTGACAGTTCAAAGGGGCTTTCCATATTAACTCATTTATTCCCCATGACAAGTACTTTTGTGGCGGCAGCGCAGTGCAGGCCACGGGGCCAGCCCCAGAGGGCACCTCTAGGTGACCTCCCTAATGCTGACACCAGCACTTGCCTCCCAACTGAGACCTCCACCTCTCCAGTGTTCTTCCAGCCACCAGCACCCAAGCCAGGAGTCACCACGCAAGTCACAAACTTCTGTATAGTGAGGACCAAAGCCCACCCTCGCCATCCCTATACAGGACACGACGGACATGCTTCCCTAGCAGGAGCTCTCAGACGTGTGCACAGCCAGCCCCACGGGGTTCCACTGAGGTGTGGACTTGAAGGGGCAGGTCCCCAGACTGACAAGGGGGCGCATCTACCACACATTCCAAATACCTCTCAACCCATCCAGGGCTTCTAACTTCATTGGTGAATGAAACAAAAAATTAGCCATACTGTAGTATAAATAAGTGTGAAGAGGTTCGATTGTTTTGAAGTCAACTTGTTTGTGGTTAAAAGTGACCAGAGCAGCAAATGTTAGAGCAAGAAGTCGTCATCAAATTCCCATAGTGGGTTCATGCTGTGAGGCCTGTTTACAAGGCCTGCAGATAATCTGTCCACCTGGCATGTCGATGTCACCATTTTGTCTACCTTATTAATAACCTTAGAATATATTTTTATGATTCTAAACAGGACAAAAATTGTTCAGCTCAGCCCCACAGCCCAGATAAAACACCATTCTTACGTACACGACCAACTTATCAATTACTCTGAGGTCTGGAGGATCATCTATAGCCAAATCTCCAACGTACTCCAAAAGGAAGCCGAACAGTTTCTGTAGGAACATGAAGTGGGAAATAGAGCTTAAGGTTTGGTACCAAGAACAAAACCACAAGCATCTAACTCTCAGGTCACCCACACTCTGGCAACAACCAGGTGGGGTGGGGGACCCTCAGGGTCACAGGCATGAGCAGAACTCTAAAACATAAGCAAAGCCCTGATAGAACCTGCTCAACACTAGATGGTGTAGAGAAAAGAAAAGAAAACCAAGGACGAGGTGTGTCCTCTACAGAATGACAGACACGACATGACTATGAAATCACAATCAGGAACACAGCCAGGACTGCACCCTGTTTACAATAAATATGCAACATTTACTGAAAGAGAAAAAAGCACGTTCACAGCTACCTATTTACCCTAAAGTCTGGCTTTGCTGCCTGCTGGATATGCAAGCCTTGGTTTCCTCACCTGTGAAAAGAAGGCCCCGGGCCTGCTGCAAGGCCGAGAGGAGGGGTGGGATGCCAAGCATGGCTCTGCCTGCTCCCACTGAGTGCCCTCAGCTGTCATCACACAGACAACCAACTGACAGGCTGGTCCTGAGGCACACTTTGTCACTGTACAACTTCAAGCAAGTCCGACACTCACAGAGACTGGGGGGTTATGCTAACACTCCTAATACTCAGCACATACATTCAACATTCATTCCAGCATACTTCTAATTTTGCTTTGTTTCCTACTGCGAGACTTGGATGGTTGCATTTCTGAATTCTCTCCACCACCAAAAGCTGTTCTTCCATTGATCTTCCTGACAATAAAGATCTCAGTTCCTCATAGGATTCGGGAGCTATCAAAAACAGAAAACACACTCCACATGTAACATTTAAAATGAGAATTATTTACATTTCAGCTCACACAGGTAAAAACCAAACACAACATAAGATTAGTTTTTTTACTTTAACAAAATAGAGAGGTTAACACACATTTTATAGAGTTATTTATTTTACCTCCCAATCACCACAATAGCATCCAATTGGCCAAGAAGCCTGTGACTTCACTGAACTGGGCTATCCAGGAGGACCGTGCCCAGAAAACGCCAGGAAGACATGACCCCATCTTCCCTCCATTAGGAATCCACTTAAATAGCTACACTGGTGAGCCTCGGGGACAGAGTGCTGGTTTTTGTGCCCAGACTGCTTTAAAATGAGCTAAGCAACACCACCTTGTGAGACTCTCACCCATCAGAGGCCACGTCCTAGAGGCCTGCCTCACCGCTAGTTTATCCTCTCTGGAAACAACCTTCAGTCACAGGACACTTCAGGTGACTTACTAGAGTTGGACAGTTTTTCTCTATGTACCAAACACACTATATTCTGTCTAAAATGTTATGTGGCCAAACCAGAATGCCCAGGTCCAAATGTAGGGAGCCTTCCCACAGGTAATCACCAATCTTCACGGCCCTGCTGGCTCGCTATGCAAGGCTCACAGCACACAAAAAGGAGTGTGGAGACACCTGCCTCATCTGGGAGCTGATCCACAGAACTGTCCACGGTCACGCACTGAGACTTGGATCAGCAGACACTGAGGAGAAGGATGATAGCACCTCCCCACACAGCAAAGACACACACACGGGAATGTGTCCATGCACTCACAAGTGCGCCCTTGGCCCCCACTCCACAAATGCAACCCCAGGAAGGGAGACAAACATGCACACATTATGGCCAGGTCACAAAAGTTATCCTGAAACATAAGAGAGCCCGACTGCTCGTCTACCTGCAAACGTATAGGGCAGCTCGGTGCTGGCGGCGTTTTGAGCCTTTTGGCCACGAGTTATCAATCCTTTCTCAGGACTCTGATGCTCTTTCTCTGGCTTCTCATTTTCTTCTTCACTCTCTACATCAGATGCCAGGTCCGAGTGGCCCTCTGGGCCATCGCTCTCCTCTGGGTCCTCCCCAGTGGAACCTTCACTCTCGTCCTCCTCACTCTTATCCCCGCTGGCTTCCTGGCTTTGCTCTTCTTGGACATCTTCCTCAACATTCATCTTTCCGTCCTGGGAAGAGAGCAAAGACACAGGGCAGAGACAGTGGTCATGATGCCCTACAACTGCACCAGGATCCTGTGCGCACAAAGCGTCAGTGCTTCCCACGGGCTGTGTACTCCCTTTGTCCATGGGGCCTCCTCACCCACCCCTTCTAGGCCATTCCCAGAGCCACAGGGGCTAGAAGCTCCCAGAGAGCCCTGTGCCAGGACACTGGGCAAGGTTTAGGTTTTGCAAGCGAGCAGCACAGGACTAAGATTTGGAAGGTGTGTGGGTTTCAGCAGTAGAGCGTCCACAGCATCCCACCAGTGGTTTGGGAGATACACCAGCGGGCAGATAACCTAGTGTTTTTGCCATACCCAGTTTCCTGGTATGGAACCTTTCTGCTTGAACTCCCTGGCCTGCCTGTTTTTCTTCCCTGAACCCTGACTAATACACTGTAAAAGAAGGTATAGACCTTATAAGGTTCATGAATTAAAAACTACACCAGAACTGGGCATGGTGGCGCATGCCTATAATCCAGGAGCTTGAGACCAGCCGAGACAACACAGCGAGAGTCCATCTCTAAGAAAAAACATTTTTAAAAATTAGCCAGGTGTGGTGGTGGCACGCACCTGTAGTCCCAGCTACTCAGGAGGCTGAGGCGCGAGGATCGCTTGAGCCCCAGAGTCGGAGGTTACGGTGAGCTATGATTGTGCCACTGCACTCCCAAAACAAAATAAAACAGTCCTTAGAACAGTCCTTAGAAACTCAATTATGTCAGTCAAAAATATTCAGAATTTTAATCTTCAGTTAACTCCCTCCATATCATGCTGAGGTCATGCAGACATAAACGAAAGCAGGGGGTGCCGACAACTGAGTAAACAGCAAGGCGTCTAGCTGAGTGGCTGTGCGAGCTGTGTCCCTTCTCCTGAGGGGGAAGCACCCCTGCCACAGTCTGCTCTATGAAGTCTGATACCCGAGATCCCATCAACACCTAGATGAAGAACTGTAGAGAAATTGGTTAGGTCCTTTAAACGAACACCAGAAAATGTGTTTTTAAGTTTAAAAAAAGGAAAGAAAATGAAGCCAAACATCTTACTTTGTAAGAAAGCAAACGTCTATCATCTTTATCCAGTACAAAGCCATCATTTAAATCATCTGCTGACATATGTTTTGGTTTCTTAAAATTTTCATCCTCATCCTTTCCAAGCATTCTTCGAAGTCTTTCAGCCTACACAGGAAGGAAAGGGATGTCATACTGTGTGCTCCTCAGACGCATGACAGCCCAGCCCCCAAGCCTCTCAGCGCTGACTCTGGTGCGTCTGGCTTGCTTTCTGCTTGTGATCTTCAGACACGCAAACACTTGGTAACATTATGTGGACGACGTTCTTATTTAACAAAATCAACTGAAAAACGCTTTGTGGCAGAAATACTCTCATCCACAAGGATGGAAAATCTGTTACTGAGTCTTTGCAGTGAAATTCTGCTGGCCAACCATGACCATAATTCATTCCCCACTCCTCTGAGAATAGGCATGAGGGCACCCTAAGCAAGCAGCCAGCTCAATTCCTTCTACTATTTGAAAACACAGGAGATGGAAAGAGGCCTGGGATGTGGTTGTGTTAAAACAGCTTCCCAGCTGTCTCCCCGGCTGTCCTCCCGGCTGTCTCCCCGGCTGTCTCCCTGGCTGTCCTCCTGGCTGTCTCCCCGGCTGTTTTCCAGCTGTGGCTGTCGAGCCTCCTGTGCAGGTGCTGGCCACCCATACCTCCAGTTTCCTGAGCCGCTCCTGCTCCTCGTGTGCCAATTCCTCCTCTGTTTTCATCCTGTTAGAGGGCTGTGCCTTCATTTCAAAACCAAGCTCACGAACCATCATGTCATATGCATCAGGCTAAAGTGGAAAGGGGAAATTTTCCACTTTTATAATGGCTGGACACTGTTATAGAAAAAGCTAAATCACACCTGCATCTTTTCTGAGAAATCAGTGGACACTTTGGTCACACAGAACTTCTTTTACTCCTAGGAAATTCTCCTCAGAATATATCTGCTTTAACAAAAATAAACATTGCTCACATAGGCATTAAACCCTAAACATGGGAAGTTAGGTACAGCAACAGCAATAGTCAGGGTGACTCACAAAGATGTCCAGATGGCCACATGACAGTGTAATCTGGTCCTAGATTCTTTCCTAGAATCCAGCTACTTAAGCAAATGCAGCATTTCCCAACAATTTAGATTAAAAAGAATGCAGTACAAAAAAACTAGAGTTTAGAGGAAAAAATAAGTAAATGTATATTAAATGTATATATATCAATATACAAATATGTTACAAGGAAGTTCAAACACCCATGGTCTCCACCCCAAAGTACTACTATACCGAGAAATACCACTTTAACTTAAATCACCCGGGGTAGAAACTGAAGTAACTTTGAGTCTACTTCTACCCTGACATAATACATCATCAGGCAATTCCACAGAAATGTCCAAGAGAAACCTTGTCCTAACAGGAGGTAGGCCAGAAGAGATGTTCTGGCCTTAGCCTTTTCTCCACAGCAAAGTCAAGTTTGTTTCAATCGCCTGCCTCCCACCTTGGGTTTCTCCTTTTTATCTCTCTTCTCTGACTTGGGAGTTTTGTGTGACAGGAGAATCTGGATTTCTTTCCAGTCTTGGTCCAACTTCTCTGTGAGCTCAAGGGCATCTTCTCGCTGAGCTTGTCTCTCCCTCTGGGGAAAACACAACAGACACACCACACACCATTATGACTGGTGTCAATGCCAAGGACATACACAATGACCACTTGGCCAACACCACGTTTCGACAGAAAAAAGAGACCAGGAGAAATTAGTACTGTAAAGGCAAAGCTGCAAAATTTCATCAGACAGAAATAACTTCCTGCTATAAACTGTTAGATGCTCTGAGCAGTTCATTACAAGTCAGTAAGAAACAGTGATGTTTTGTAAACCCTAATACACATCAAATACTAAAACCAACCACAATAATAAAAAACTCATTAGAAGCATATTCTTTTTTTTTTGGAGACAGAATCTCACTTTGTTGCCCTGGCTAGAGTGAGTGCCATGGCGTCAGCCTAGCTCACAGCAACCTCAGACTCCTGGGCTCAAGCAATCCTTCTGCCTCAGCCTCCCTAGTAGCTGGGACTACAGGCATGCGCCACCATGCCCGGCTAATTTTTTTCTATATATTTTTAGCTGTCCAATTAATTTCTTTCTATTTTTGGTAGAGACGGGGTCTCACTCTTGCTCAGGCTGGTCTCGAACTCCTGAGCTCAAACAATCCGCCCGCCTCGGCCTCCCAGAGTGCTAGGATTACAGGCGTGAGCCACCGCGCCCGGCCTAGAAGCATATTCTTGATGAGATTTAAAATATTCCTATTCAAAATGAATGTTTTTATTAAACTCATATAAAATATTAAATACAGGAGCCAGGTGAGGTGGCTCACACCTGTGTCCTACCACTCTGGAAGGCCAAGGCAGAAGGATCACTTGAGCTCAGGAGTTCAAGACCAGTTTGAGCAAGAGTGAGACCCTGCCTCTGCTAAAAATAGAAAAACTAGCTGGGCACAGTGGTGTGTGCCTGTAGTCCCAGCTACTTGGGAGGCTGAGGAAAGAGGATTTCTTGAGCCCAGGAGTTGGAGGTTGCTGTGAGCTATGATGACACCACTGCACTCTACCCAGTGCAACAGAGCAAGACTAGGTCTCAAAAAATTAAATAATACATACATACATAGGCTGAAAAAGCTCAGGCAATATTTTGGTGAACACGTCTTACAGTGGAGCTATCTCACACAAAGAATACTAACTAACCCACCTTCTCCTGTTTTGACTTCGCAATGAGCTCTTCAATCAGTTCCTTCCGTGACTTTGGTTGTTCTCCCTCCTCACCTTCCTGTTGAAAGTTCTTTGTATGAAGGAGCCTGCTGCCTCCTCCAAAGTGCGTAGCAGTTAGCTCAGCTGGAGACAAAAAGCAGAAAACACCATGGTGACACCCAGGCTGTCTGGGAAGCACTTTTTTTAGTACTCTGCCAACATTTCCCCAAGAGCAGTCTTAAGAATTCCACATCCAAGAATAAAGTTCTCACACTCAGCTGGCCTGAGACCACAGGCACATTGACTGGCACTTAAGAAATACCCAAGATGAGCCATTCCAGGAAAACCAAGACCCATTAAATTACCAAGTGGCCATAATCCAATTGACTGGAAACATCAAGCACCCATTTTTTAATTGTGTTCGTTTTTGAGAAAGACTGGCAAACCGAGGAGAAAAGCTGGACCCAGAGTCTCGCGAGCGAGCAGGGTCCGGATTAGTGACGTGAGGAGTTCCACCTGATCCTCCCACTGCCACAGGCAGGACATGGGGACTCAGCAACCCAGAGCTGACAGCAGGAGCAGGAATCACTAAGAGTCACCAACCTTCATCCTGCCCTATTTGCCAGAGCAGGAGAGAAATAAACATTGTGGGAATCATCAAATTTGGAGCAGAAAGAAACCTTAAAAAATCCAAATTCTCATATGAAAAACCAGAGGCTTGGATGTAAAGTGATTTACCAGAAGTCTCACACCAGAACAGAAACGAAACTGCTCAGGCCCCCGACCAGCAGAGCCTGGCCCACCAGGCTAGTCCGTCCCTGTCCCTGCCTGCTCCTGTCGTGCTCCCTTGCCAAGGCTGCTGTCTGGCTAACTCAAACACAACCTGCTCCCTGGCCATACCTGAGCAGGGAGACGAATGGTGGACAGAACACACATTATCTTCAAAACTGCAAACTTCAGGTGGGCTCTGGTCGCCATCTGCCAGTCCTGGCCCATGTTCCAGTCCACACTCTTGTGCACCCCAGGCTGCCCACCTCTTGTCCTTTCATACCCTCTGCAGGTCCTGCCTCCCCCTCACTCAGCGCTGTCTAGGCCACAGAGAAAACCGAAGCCCTCAGAAGAGAAACTGCTGAACCACAGAGTGCTCTGGGCTCTCCCCCAGCTGCTCTGCACCATCCAGGGCCAACCCTGTCCCGCGCACTCAATCCCATCCTTGGCCCAAGCAAATCTACCCTTGTTTCCTGCATCAAGTTTTCTCATTCTCTTGGACTGTTCTTTCATACCCCACCTCGTGTCCCTCCTTGCATTTCTCGGGCCCCCTTACAAAGAGTCCCCCAGGGTTGCCTCTACTCCACCTGCAACCCCTCCTCTCCTTTCTCTTCCCTCCTCTGAAATGATTTACAGTTCAGTTCTTGGTCCTCCTCTCAACATCAGCAATGCCCGACACATTCGTCACTCCCTCCTAGAAAAAGTTTCTCCACTTGCTTCCGGCCAGGGCCTAACTGGCAGCTCCTGGCTCAGTCTCTCCTCCAACTCCGAGGGCTGCAGCTCCCACTACGTCTTTTCTAGCCACTCTATTCCCTTTGCTGCCTCATTTAGTCTCTGTGCTGACAACTTCCAACTCCTGTCTCTGGCCTGTATCCCTCCCTCAACTCCAGGCTCCAAGTGCTCTTCTGATAATGCCCCTTGGATATGTAACAGGAATTTCCAAGCCCCCAAACCTGTTTCTCCCACAGTCTTCTTCAGCCCCACGAAAGTGACTGTCTTTCCAGTCACTTAGGCCAAAATCCCTGGAGTCATCCTTGGTTCTTATACTCAACCCCACACCTATATCCAATTCATTAGGAGGTTCAGTTGGCCTTGTCCCATGTAATTCCGCGGCTCAAATGACTCCAATGACTCCTTTTCTTGAGTAAAAGCCAAAATCTCTCCCGTGGCCCAGGAAGGCCTGGTCCTCCTCTTACTAACCCTCCCCTCCTCCCCACCCACCTTCCACTACCCCAATCTCAAGCCCCTTGAACATGCTGTTCCCTCTACAGGACACTCTTTGCCACACAGTCCTCAGGGCTCTGCAAACACCACCGCTCAGTGAAGCTGAGGCCACGCAATGGCATGCCCCTCCTGGCTTTACTTTTACTCCACAGCACTTTCGCCTTCAACTGGACAGCATCACGTAGCACTGTGTTTGCCGTCTGGGTCTCCCCAGTAAAACATGAGCTGCAGGAAGGCAAGGCATTTTGTGTTTCGTTCACTGCCATTACCCCAGAACTGAGAATGGTGCCTAACACATAAACTGGTATTTTATGGATGGATGGCTGGATGGATGAATGGATGAATGAATGAATGATTCCTATGCTTCCTGGAAAATTTAGCATACCAGAAAACATTTCTCATTTAGTGTTCTAGTAATTCAAAGTTGTTCACAATTATTATTGAAAAGGAAAATATGCAAAGCACCAATTAATAAGGTTGTATTAATTATATAAAAAATTCAGAAAAGGATTCTTAAAAAAAAGTTCTCCATTACGTGTTTTTCAGAACGTCTGTATTCCAAGTGTGAACAACAAATGGCAGCTACAGTTTGGAAGTCAGGCCAACTGGGACTGGAAGTCCAGCTCTACTTGGCTGTGAGGCCCAAGCAAGTCACCAACTCATCCTCAGCCTCAGCTTCCACAGCGGTAAAGTGGGGTGACATCTACCACACAGGGCTATTTTAGGGATTAAACTCTCCTAGTCTAAGAGAACATAATATGTTACATAGTTGAACAAAATGGATTTTGTTTCCTCATGACTCATTTTTAAAAATTATAGGAAATATATTTATTTTCAAATGTAAGAGGTTTTCTTTTATAAATTACCTGGGTTTTGGTGAGCTCATAATCAAAATCAAAGGATAGGAAATCTCAAATGAATCGCTGAATTCCCAGGATTCTGTTATCAGAAGAAACAGAACCCTACTTCCCTCTAGTCACGCAGCATCACGGTCCTCCTGGTGGCAAGGATGCTGCTGCTGCTCACCAAACACGAACCAAGGCAGTCCACCTTTGGTCACAGTGAATTATGATCCCCAAGTAAATGCATTTTACAGCTAAGGGTATACAAAAAGTCCTGAACAATGAAAAGTGCAAAGAGAAAGGCACAGAGGATGAAACTACTAGCCATTCCCTTTATAACCATGAAGCTCTGGCGGAGTCAGAGGCCTATTCCTGGTGCTGTTATGTGGAACAGTGGGTTCTGCACCACAAGCTGCCTTAACTCCTAAACCTTCTGCCCCCTGGATTATCCAAATATCCAAAGGTAAGCCCAGGCTTTAATTCCTTAGCTTTCCACACACTAAAAAGACAAAAGGTTGATCAGTTTTAGTTTTGTGCGGCTTTGTTTTGAAAAATGGGACCTACTCTGACTTAAAAGGAATACAAACTAATTAATGACAATGACAGCAACTTTACAAACAGGGCCCAAGACAGTCAGACTTAGAGTCCTAAACTCAGTTCAGTTGTATATTATTTATTTTTTTTTTTTTGAGACAGACTCTCACTCTGTTTGCCTGGGCTAGAGTGCTGTGGTGTCATCCTAGCTCACAGCAATCTCAAACTCCTGGGCTCAAGCGATCCTTCTGCCTCAGCTTCCCGAGTAGCTGGGACTACAGGCATGCGCCACCATGCCCGGCTAATTTTTTCTTATATTTTTAGCTGTCCGATTAATTTCTTTCTAATTTTAGTAGAGACGGGGTTTCGCTCTTGCTCAGGCTGGTCTTGAACTCCTGAGCTCAAGCAATCCGCCCGCCTCGGCCTCCCAGAGTGCTAGGATTACAGGCGTGAGCCACCACGCCTAGCCCAGTTGTATATTAATGCTTTTTAAAGCCAAAACTTAATGTTTCATGTTATTATTTACTGATAAGAAGCTCAATATTATCTCCCTCACAAAACTGCTATAACTGGTTCCACAGTAAATAAAGACTAAAAGAACTACAAAAACACCACTGGTATGGTATTAGGTCAGAACCTATAAAACAGCAGGCAGCAAAGCAGTGCAGTTGAGTGCAAAAGACCCTTCTTAGGAGTCAGGCAGGTGGGTTTTATGTGACTCCTGGGTTGGGCAAATCATCTTACCTCTCTCTCAGCTCATGAATAATACAAGCTATTGTGAGGTTCAAGTAAGATAATGGATATTAATGTGCTTTCTCAGCCCATAAAAGCACCCAGAAGTTCTGAAATATAAAAAAAAAGAAAAAAAAAAAAAAAACCTCAAAGATGGTCACATGTGGAATTTATTGAGAGGTTAATGATCAGTGAACTTTTCTGCGACAACTTTTTCTAGAGGAGAAAGTCACACAGTGAACAGACCGTCCCTGGCTCTAAGACCCCAGGCCCACGTGGCACCCCGGCCTCACCAGAAAGTGTTCCTCGTTCCTCAACATCGCTGTCGCTATCCACAATGTCATTATGTTTCTCAATGTCTGCCAAAGACTGGCCATAATGCGTCAATTCCTCATCTTCATTTAGGTTGTAGATGCTTTTTTTCTCATGATGTCGCTGACAGAAGAGAAAAAAAAATCAGTTTCCTAAATTACCACATTCACTTCATAGCAAAAAACAATTATTTTTCCATTATATGTGAATATGACAATGCAGCCTAAGCAGCCTTAGGGAATATTCTAAGTCGTCTGAGCAATGAGTCAGACATAAACAGAGCTCACGGAAGGGAATTCTTAAATATGTCAATAGGCCAGGTAAGCCACTGGTAAATCATGCAGTCTTACCCCCCAGCCACGCTTCTCAGTCCACTGGCTCTCCACTCAACTCCAGTACACAATGCCGCCATTTACTATGGTTAAGATATTTATCCATTCAACTAACATTTGCAGAAGGTTGCTTCTGCTTTAGCCTAGCCAGAAAAGGTATAGGATTCAAGAGCTATCCCCTGTACCCAGTGGGTGAGTGCCCATGAACGTGTAAATGAACGAAGGGGAGAAACAGCTTCCATCTTGGGCTTGATCTCAGTGTAAAACGTACAGCAAACACCCTCCTCCAATTTTTTTCCATACCTGTTGTTCCAGAGCAAACCTCTTCATCATCTTTTCTTCTGCACTTATGTTGCTATTGTACTCCCCAAAGCGTTTATCTCTAAATACATTGGATTTATCTCTTTCTTTGTACTCCTTTAGTAATGTCTGTGTACGCTGAAAAACAGATTATAAAACAATCTCACAAAAAAAATTCTTGTGATTTCCTCCAAAAGGGACATTTTTTTTTGGGTGAGGGGGAGACAGGGTCTTACTCTACCACTCTGGCTGGAGTGCAGTGGCATGATCACAGCTTACAGCAAACTCAAATTCCTGGGCTCAAGCGATCCTCCTGCCTCAGCCTCCTGAGTAGCTGGGACTACTCAGTCACACAACGTGATGCCTGGCTAATTTTTCTATTTTCTGTAGAGATGCGGTCTCACTCTCACTCAGGCTGGTCTCGAACTGCTGGGCTCTAGTGATCCTCCCACCTCAGGCTCCCAGGGTGCTAGGATTACAGGTGTGAGCCACTGTGCCCGGCCAGAATGGTGCATATTTTAAAGTTCAGAGCTATGCACTGTGATGTCAAAGTTCATACAGAATCTGCTTTCATCCATGGTAAACTTTCCCTACTAGGAACAGAATTTTGAGAAGAGAAAACCAACTCACTCTCAATGATAATGGAGTAATCACTTTATTTTCCCCTTTAGAGTTTGTCTGTCAGTGCTGAAAGGAAGAGCAAAAAGCACACTAGCCAAGCTAAAGACATGAACTGTTCTTCCAGCCGCCTTATGGTTTAAGCAAGTGTGTACTTTAGGCTGGATTCATTTGGAAAAGCGGAGTAGGTTTAGATCCCTTCTATCATGGAGGAGGGTGGTTATTTCCCATCAAAGGTGCTCCTAGGAAATATACAGTTGTGTCTTCCTGTGTGAGGTACAAGACCATAAACAAGCTGATCACCTGGGGTCACAGTCTCTCTAGACATTATGCTCCAGAACATCAAAAGCAGCAATATTTTAAATAGACAATTCAACAGCTAATAGCAAGTATCAAATAATCTGGTATTTTCCCAGTAGCAATAACAAACAAGTTCAACATTATCCAAAGTTGGTTGCCCTTGAGGTTGAATTCCCTAAAATAGGGAGAGGACAAAGGAAGGTGGGGAATGAGGGCAGCCTCAGTGACGTGAGGTGGCTATATGAGGAAGTTTTCCCCATTGCAGAAATCCTTATATTTGCTAAGGGACTGCCATTTCACCAGAGTTTATACGGCAACCAGGGACAAAAGAAATTGGTACCAATCATGACACAACTGGATCACTTGAAATGATCCAATTCCATAGTTTTACAAACCCGCCACAAAGTAGACACCTTGGCAGAGATTTGAAACCTCTGATCTAACCTCAGAATTGAATGTCTCTTGCATTCTTCGGGATTCCTCTAATTTGTGAAAAGCCACTTTGACAGATGCACACATGTGGTGGGAGGGAGAGACAGGGTCAGAGATGAACTAGAGGTTAAGGAACCCACCTTTAAGGTCAAAAACAAAGAGGTAGAAGAGGAGAGAAAAGGAGAGTGGGAGTGGAAGGTGTTAAGCAGCAGCCAGGCAGGAGCAGAAGACACTAAGTGAAGGAGAAAGCAAGCACTGGCTGTGCCTGATTTAGATTTAGAGCACATTCCATTTGGGGAGGTCACCAAAGTGTTAACAATGTGGAAGGGGAAAGTGATGGGAAGAGAACAGCTTTCTTATTTCACTTCAAAATATGAATACGGTATTTCAATTAAAATGCATCAAAAACCCCTCTGCTGCCTAAAAAGTAGGAAGCCATCAACTAGTTCAATAAATACTTCCAAGGCAATTTCCATTTTTTCAATTACGTTTCATGAACCAGTTTCTCTGCAAAAGACCTGGGTTATTAAACCCTTGTAACTTCTACTGTGGTATTTAGTTCAGGTGCTAAACAAAATTTATTAAAAACACCCTGGGCACAACTTCCTGATGCTTTTGGACTAGAGCCCCAAGTGGACCAGAGGGTTCCACTGCTGTCACTCTGTTCTTACCACTTCTTTTGTTATGACCAGTCCAGCTCAGTAAGGGGTGGGGAAGGAATGAGGAAGAACAAGATCCTGTTGGGTGCCAGCAATAAAGGTTTCATTTGCCACACACAGTACTGTATTAGGTTAAGCTCTCTGAAACCTACGCAGTTCCTCATTTGCAGAATAAAAATTAAAGTGATAAGTCACTATTTAAATCACAAGGTCTGGCTGGCAATCAAATGCGAGAACACACATGAACATGAACATGAGCGCGCGCGCGCGCACACACACACACACACACACACACACACACACACACACCACAACACCAGGATGGTGGACAGACTCAAGTCCAGACCTATAGTGACCACAAGATCTGGAATCTATTCGTTGTTCACAGATTGGAGATGACCTCAACAACATCACATGGGTTGGCCTATACTGCTAGATGAACACCCTGTATGAACAGAGGCTGCTTAGACGCTACATGGCGAAGACTTCCTCAGCCTAACCCTGCAAAGAGAGGGAGCTACTAATGATAGTGACAGACACTTCCACCAGGAAGGAGGTGGGTGGGGCAAGGCATCAGCCATCTCTGTGCCTGTAAAAACATTAGTTCTCATTATCTGGGATTTGATTCTATGGGTAAATTTTAGTGAACATCCCTTAGGCAAGCAGTCCCTGACCTTTTTGGCACCAGGGACTGATTTCATAGAAGACAATTTTTCCACGGATTGAGGAGGGTGGAGCTCTGCAGCCCAGGTCCTAACAGGCCAGGGACTTGGTTGGGGACTGCAGCCTTAGGCCATAAATACATAAATTCAGTATGATTTCACAGTACCTATTACAGTTTAGGAAAGAAAAGAAATAGGATAATGCAGGATAACCTAGGAACTAATTGTGTTTGCAACTACTAAGTAAGTCTAATACTAATATAGGTAAACTCACTTTCAAATGATTATTTCTTAACCACTCTCCTTCCTAACAGTCAGGTTAATACTTTTGATGAAATAAACTGAAATAATAAACCACTTAGTATTATCAGGTCTGATTTTTAGGACAGAAAACAAAGTTGTGTGTGAGAAACAGGTTAAAGCAGTTTCCCCAGTTCCACTGACCCTCTCAGGCAGGGGAATGAACTTCTGAGGGAAGTCTCAACAACTCTGCATGTTTTCATCATAATATCCTTTCCTTTCCTTTTTAATTTAACCATTTGTAATCCTTACTGATTCTTCCTATTGATTTCAAAGGTAGGCTCTTTCACATTTTAACAAACACAAAGTGACACAAAGTCTAATGGAAACTCTCCTTAGCCACTCTGGTTGGGATCAGCCTCAGGGCCAGCAACCAAGACTTATTTACCTTTAAATAATATGAGTAAGTATGCCAGATTTATGCATGCTAAATAGAACATTTAACCTAGGCTCAGCGACATTGGGGATACTCAGAATGCAATTCTGTCTGTAATAGATTTTGAGTTGCCCCACACAGATGGGGACACTCCCAAAGTAATGTGCTCCAGTGATCCTGCATATAGTGATGTGTATACCACCTGGTCTTTACTGCCAGTAAGCCAATAAAATGCCAAAAGGCACAGGTGGCACTGAAAGGTACACATTCTGGAGTTCCAGACCAGAAGAAAGCAATCTCAGTTCCACTCTCTTCTCGCAGAAGAAGTAAGTAGGGGAAAAAAGGCCTCTCCTAATGAGCTCTTCTTGTTCTTCACACAGGGTAGACGGAAAAGCCCAGGTTTTTGAGACACAGTGAGAGCCAGACAACAACTCTTCCCTCATTAGGCGAACACCAGTGGGCTACTAAGGGTAATAAGTAGAACGAAATATTTTGCGAGCGTAGGGGCCGTCCCTGGGCAAAATTGGCTTAAGCCCAGAGTCAGCGAAACTGGGTGTGCTCTCCTTGGCACCAGAGGTCAACAGGTCCGCACACAGCCTGTTGGACAAACAGAACTATTCCTCATGACAGATAGCTTTATGATAGATAACCAAGCGCCTGGGATCTTGCAAACAAGCCAAGGCATCTCATTGTCCTGCATACGGTAATGAGATAAAGAAGTTAAGATACAAGAAGTTAAGACGCAAACGTCTGCTTCCCTTAAGGAATCGTCTGGAAGGAATGAAAATGTGTTTCCTCAAGACGCCCAAGGTAGTCACGTACCAGGAAGTAGCTGCCGGACATAGAAAAAGTATATAATAAAGCGACTGGTAGAACTGTCTACTGCAGTCTTGTAAGTCTTGTGTGTGTCTGTGTGTTTCTTTCTGTGTCCATCCCCTGTTCTGCAATCCGGGCCGCGACATGCGAGGAAGACCACATTCACATAACTTTTATTACGGTATATTGTTCTAATTGTTCTATTTTATTATTAGGTATTGTTGGTAATCTTACTGTGCCTAATTTACAAACTTTATCATAGGTATGTACATATAAGAAGAAATAGTATATACAGCTTAGTACCATCTGTGGTTTCTGGCATCCACTGAGGGTCTTGGAACATATCCCCTATGGATAAGGGGGGACTACTGCGTGTTTTATAAATGTGATATATTACTAAACCTGTAATCTTTTTATAATGAGGTAAAAATAATAAATATTGCTTTTAAACATCTGCCAGGCTAGGCAAGCCCTGCCTGTGTGTAAGAGGCAGGACTTGCGCGTGCACACCTCGGACCATCAGGTGACCTTCAATGGGGCAGAAGTAAAAAAAAAAAAAAATATTAGGTTATTAAGTATGAAATGTCCAATTTCCTTAAGTACTAAGTTTGACAGTTGATATCTGACATTTTTGTTTTATTTTTATTGTGAAGGTACATTCTCAGTCTTTCAAATGCACGTGTTGGCTTATGATTATCTTTCAGATTTTTTTTAGAGCAATTTTTGTGAAACCATGGATAAGTCAAAAATTCGTGTTATCTTCAAATATGAGTTCTGTTGCATAACCAATGCAGCGCAGACAGCTTGAAATATCAAAGAAGTGTTTGGGAAGGATGTGGTTAATGAATGCACAGTACATGGATGGTTTCAGAAGTTCTGTTTTGGTGATTTTAATCTTGAAAATGAGCCACGTGGGTGACCTGAGACAAAGGAGGATAATGATAAGCTGAAAGCCGTACTGGAAGCGAATCCATC